CCAGCCCCCCCCCCCCAGACCATGAAAGTCCCTTCTGATGGGGTGGGATGTACTTTGGGGTGAGGTTCATGCACAGAGATGTGGGGGTCTTCACCACAGAATCAAGGCTGGGGCTGCTGGCCGCAGTGGGCAGTGGGGTGAGAAGAACTCCGGGAGGTGGGAGATGCCGCCGGCACCTGTCCCTTGTCTTGCAGTGACAGATCCAGTCCCTGGAGTGCCACGGGAGTCATGCTGCCTGTGTACCCCATTTCTCTCCACAGTCCCCCAAGCACAATAAATGGTCTGCCAAAGCTAGTGGCAGTGTGCATTTCTTGGCGGGGGTGGGGGGGTGGAGAGGGTGGTGGGTGGCCAGGGACAGGGGTGTCCTCAAGAGCAACCCTGCCACACAGTCAGGCTCTGGACCTGCCTGAGCCAGGCACCTTGTGGCTGGGGCTCCAATTCCAAGTAAGCCCTTCCATGGTAGGTTTTGCCTGCCCTAGGCAGGCCTTGGGCTAGGGCTGTGCTCTGCCAGAAAGAGGGCATCCAAGGGACCTTCCTCATTCCTTGTGCCCCTGGCTCAGCTGCTCAGAAGCACCTGGCTGACCCATCACCACCTGTGTCCTAGGCTCTGGGGTCACTGCTCAACAGGCTTGGCCTTCAGGGTCCTGGCTCAGCTGCTCAGAAGCACCTGGCTGACCCATCACCACCTGTGTCCTAGGCTCTGGGGTCACTGCTCAACAGGCTTGGCCTTCAGGGTCCTCCCAAAAAACAGCACCCAGTAGGTCCTCAGGTGCTCTTCCCCATCCTATTCTCACCTCCACTCCCCACCCCACTCTGTACCCCATCCTCCAACCCCTGTCCAGTGCCTCACAGCTTCCTCTGCTCTTTTCCCCCATTCTGGTACTGCCTGCCTGACTGTTGCAGAGACCAACCAAGGACACGCCCCCCCCAACTCTGTCCAAGAGTGGAGAGAGGAGGACGGGAGGGCGCAGATAAAACTGTGCTGCTATTGTGTTTATGCAGGACAATAACACTGTTTTTGTTTTTTGTTTCTTGTTTTTAAATTGTCCTAAAAACTTTGAGGACAAAATGCTGTACTGTCTAATCTATTTCAGCAAAGATGATAATACTGATTTGTAAATTTGTCAAAATGTTAACAGTTCTTCCATCTGGGGCTCATTGTGCTATTATTTCTACTTTTCAGAAGTCTTACCAGACTTCTGGATTGAGAGGTCACAGAGATAAGGAGTCCTCCGACCCCTGGAACCCCAGACAGTCCCTTTCGTGCCCGTGGTACCTGCTGGCCCCCAGCAGAACTGTAAACACCACAATGGTAGTAACCTTCTATCCAGGTGGTGCTCCATCCCCAGCCTAAAGACCTGGAGAGGTTGTGGAAAGGCCCAGGGCACCCATAGCCCTGCCCACGTCTGCGCCTGTGCTGCTAAGCCTCCCGCGCTTTGCAGGGCACAGTCACCACATCAGAGAGGCATCCGCTGAGAGTTGCTGCCTGAACTCCAGCCATCAGTGTTCCATTATCTATTCTCATTCAGCGTCCTCAAGGAGCCAAGAGAAGGACAGAAGAAGCTACCAAGGGCAGCAGCAGGAATTTAAGGTGGAGAGGTCCGGAGGCTCGATTTTTGGCAGAATGGCCCAGCATTTAGTCCCCGGGGGTTCTCCCCTAACCCCAGACAAGTGCCTGGAGTGGGAAAATGCAGTCTGCCCTCCTTAGCGTCAGGGACACCCTTCCCTTCCTTCTGGGATGGAGTAGCTCCCGGGAACCCCTTAGGATTCAGTGCTGGTCATTCCTCCAACCCCTACAGTTTAGCCTGGGACTTCTCATGTCCTGCAACACCCAGCTTTGGCCACACAGGGGCAGCCCTCAGCCAGTGCACCCAGAATCCCAGGGGCTGTATTTACAAAATATGCCAGATCACGCCCTTTCTTCTCAGAACCACCACCACCTGCAGCTTTCACCTCATCAAGAGCAACCTTCCGCCCTGCATCCACAGCACCAAGTGTGGGCTTTACGCACGAAAATCAGACGTGCCACTGTTTAAACTTCCAATGGCTCCCCCTCTTTAATTTATTCACAATATTTATTTACTTACTAGAGATTGAACTCAAGGCCTTATAAATGCTTGCACTCTACCACTTAAGCCACACCACCAACCCTTTTGTATTTGAGATGGGACCTCAAAATCTTTGCCCTCAAACAAACTCAGATCCTCCTGCTCTGCCTCCCAAGTAGCTGGGATTACAGCCGTGCACCACCATGCCTGGATTATATTATTTTTGTTAAAGAGTCAGGGTCTCCATATGGTGCCCAATTTGACACCAAACTCCTGAGCTCAAGCAGTGCCTCTGCCTCAGCCTCCCAAGTGGTTGGGACCCCAAGTATATGCTGCTGTGCCCAGCTCATGGGTAGTGACACTGAAGACACAGATAAGGCTGGCATTCAAAACACACAGAAATACCTGCCCTCAGTACCACCATGCAGTCACCCCAGCCCTCCTCCTGGGATCCCTCTTGGCTGGCAGGCTCCATCCTTCTCTTCAAGTGGCAGCTTAAATGGCACTTCCCATCCACAGGTCCTGCAGCACCTGCTATGGTTTCTGCCCAGCGCTTGGCCCGACCTGAGAGTGTCTCTTTCATTAGCTCCCACAAGCCCAGGAGATCAGAGGCCTTGTCTGTTGGTCACAGTGTCCTCAAGGCGAGGACAGTACGAGGCACACAGGAGGTGCTGGTTCAGAACTGTGGGATGGATGCCTGAGTGACTGAAGCCTTTGCACCGGCTACCATACTTTTGCTCACTTTCTCATTTTGATTTGTAACAATTAGGAGTTAAGGAAGCTTTTATGTTTGTGTCTAAGGCGATTTGCGAGGACGAGTGGCTAACAGCTTGGAGGCCACTGGGACCAGAGTTTAGGGATGGGACTTCGAAGCCGCCCAGTGGCAGAGGGTGGGGAAGGTCCGGACCGTCAAGAAGGAGGGAATCCCAGACTCACAGAGACTCGTGGGGGCCGAGGGTGCAGGAGGTGATGAAGTCCAAATAGGCCTCTGCTTGGGCGCAAGGACCAGAGCCCCCAAAACCGACGCAAAACCTACACCGGGTGAGGTCAGCGCAGCGCGCTGCACCAGCCAGGCCCTCCAGTCTCCCGCGGTCCTCTCGAGCCCTGCCCGCAACTAAGCCCCGCCTCCTCGTTAAGCCCCGCCCCTGGCTCCACCATTCCGGCGCGAGTCCGAGATCTACCAGGCCAGACAGGATTCTAAGCCCCGCCCCGCGCAGGCGCCGTACGCACTGCTCGGCCCCGCCCCACGCTGGGGCCCCGCCCCTCCCCGGGCCGGAAGTCCCGCACCCGGAAAGACGTCACCTTGAGCTAGAACCCTGAATTTCACGTTGGGACCGCACCGGGCCACGGAGGCCAGGCCGTCCTTCCTCCGCCTACTGCCAGTTCGGCCTCCTGCGTGGGACCCTGCCCCGCTAGTCCCGCGCCCGTGGAGCTGCCATGATGCCGTCGCCGCCGCTTTGCACGCTGCCGCCAGGCTCGGGCCCTCCCCGCTTCGTGTGCTACTGCGAGCCGGAGGGCGGCGGGGACGGGGACCGCGGCGGCTTCAACCTCTAGTGAGTGGGGTCCGGGAAGGTGGGGTGCGGCAGCGCCGGGGTGGCCTCGCCTGACCTCCCTTCCCACCCAGTGTGACCGACGCCGCGGAGCTCTGGAGCACCTGCTTCTCGCCGGACAGCCTGGCGACCCTCGTGCGTAACAGCGCGGGGCGGGTCTGGGAGCCCGCCACACCCCTCTGCGGAACCGGCCGCCTGTGGGTGAAGGGACCTGAAATCCACAGAAGGGCTTGATACCCCCACTTTCCCTGCCCTGTAGCTGTGGTCCTAAAGTCGGCCTGGCATCCCAGGTGTTTCCGGGGTCGGGCAGGTTTGGGGTATCTTCCAGTGAGCCTAGGGACCCAAGCAGCTGGTGACAAGGCTTTGTGCCCTGCAGAAAGCCCGCTTTGGCCTGAGCGCGACAGAGGACATCACCTCCAGGTTCAGGTCAGCGCCAAGCAGGGAGGAAATGTGGGTGGGGCCGGAGGGGTGGGGATCTGGTCACAGCACTCAGTGCCTTGACTTCCGCAGGGCAGCCTGTGAACAGCAAGCAGTGACTCTAAGCTTGCAAGAGGACAGAGCATCTCTGACACTTTCAGGGGGACCCTTGGCATTGGCCTTTGACCTCTCCAAGGTGCCAGGCCCAGAAGCAGCCGCCAGGTTGCAGGCGCTGACTCTGGGCCTGGCAGAGCGTGTGTGCAGTCTGGAGAGGCGGCTGGCAGGTAGAGTGGGAGTGGCCACCTGTACCCTCACTAGGAGCCCTGCTCATACTCCTCATCCTGTCATTGAGTGTGGTGCCCATTGACTTTCTCCCCAGCCATAGACGAGACAGCCCCCAGCCCCAGGAAGAGCTTCCGGCCTGCAGAGCCTCAGCACTTCTTGCCAGGTAAGGGGTAGTAGACTAGGGATATAGGTTGGAGCTGCTCTCCTTCCTCTGGAATTATCTCCCTAGACAAACCTCAGGTTTCAGAGAGGACATCTGTCTATATGGACAGTGTTGTGGCCAGGTGTTCTACTGGGTTGATCCCCATCCTGTTTTCCCTCAGACCCTGATCACCAGAGAGGTGGCGCTGGACCTGGGATCAGGAGACGGTGCCCAGGGGAGTCCCTCATCAACCCTGGCTTCAAGAGGTACTGCCCACTTGTCCCTCCCAGCTTGGACCCCTACCCCTGCCTCCACACCTCCACCGCATAACCCTGTCTTCCCTCCCAGTAAGAAACCAGCTGGTGGAGTTGACTTTGATGAAACCTGACAGTACAGCAAAATATGCGTCCTTGCCAGAAGTCTGCCTGTGAGGGAAGGGGTAGCCCAAGACCTCACCATCACAAACCCCTCCTCGACTTCCTCTGCCACTGGGCAAGAATGAGGTTGCTCTTCAAGCCCCTTCTCTATCAAATAAAAGGCTCCCTCAGCAGACTTGGGGTTGGTCCTCGGGAAGGGGCCAGAGGATCCCCTTTTGACCTGCTCTGCGTATGGAGGCACAATATGGAAAGAGGTGCACCAGGCTCCCTGCTCCCTGGAAGAGGCTCCTCACGACTGGGTCTGGGGGGACCAAAACTCTCTCAGACCTGTCCATCTGTTCCTGCATGGTCAGCCTAGAAGCTGAGGGGTCCAGCTAGGAAAGGCCAGGGTTCCCTAAGGCTTGGTATTCTGTCCCACCCTTCTAGGCTCCACCCAGACAGGACCTGGCCACTCATGCCTCATAAGGCAAGGATGCATGTGGGAGGAGTCCAGGGAAGATACATGTTTGCAAAGCTGCTGGGTGAGCCAGGCAGTGGAAGCCCCCTAACTAAAGCAAGGTTGATTGCAGCCTAGGGTGGGGCTGAGGAATGTGAGCCTGCCCCCACTCCTCTGGCCCTGGGCCCTCAGGTTGGGCTCCAGGGACGGTGTTCCCCACCCTCCTTGGCCAACCAGGGCACCCGCCCTGCTCTGGCCTGACTGGTTTGAGAGCCTAATCCAGTCCCCCAGGTCCCCGAGGACTCTGTGCTAGAGTGACTGCAGGAGGGCCCAGGCCTGCGTGCTGGCCCCAGTGGGAGGGTGGGTGCTCCTGCTCTCTTGTCATGCTGGGCTGTCATCTTGATATGAGTGTGGCGCCATGGGATTAGGGTGGCGGTATTTGTGGCCTCTGGCCATCTGATGTTCAGGACACACTCACTGAGGGCAGAGATGTCTTTATAGGGCTGCAGATGAGTGGGCAGGGGCGGCAGGTGGAGGCAGTGGCGCTAGCGGGGGTGCACCACTGGCCGATAGGCAGCCAGAATCTCAGCGCTGTGTGGACAAGTGTACTTGAACTCCTTCTCCTGCAGTGCACTATCCAAGTAGCGGCGGACACCATGCAGCTCCGCAGGGATGGGCGCTTGGCGAAAGTGTGCACACACGGTCTGCTGGCACAAACGGGGTTCAGTCAGGACATTGCTCAGTGGCCTTCCTCCCACTTGTCCCACACCAGACCAGTGCTCACGTCCACAATGTGCAGCTTGGGCAGCAGGCCGCAGTCAGCCAAAGTGAACTGGTCACCGTCCAGGAAGCGGCGACGTGACTCCCGTAGCTGTGGCTCCTGTGCCAGCTCATGCTCCAGGGGTGCGCGTAGGTAGCTGTCCAGCCTGGCCAGTGCGCGTAGCAGCTGCTGGTACAGGGCTGGCAGTGGGGAGAAGGTGAGGACCTGGCCTGGAGTATGCCCTCCCACCTGCACCTGCCCACACCTCACCATCATCCTGAGCAGGCACTGGGTTCTTGATGAATGCAGAGAATTTGTGGAAGACATCGTTGCCTGCCATGTTGGACTCCCTGTAACGGGGTGCCAGGCTAGGGAAGCTGTAGGGGGGGGTTGATGTTAGGGGTGGAGTCAGATCCTCACCCTATCTCCCTTGAGCCCTAAGGCACCCCTCCTGGGCTTTGGCCTTAGGGCCCCATCTTTGCCCTCCTGCCCCCTCCAGTTCTCACTCAGGTGGCCCCAGCATCTCCTCCAGAAACTCCTCAGTCTGCAGTGTGTCTGTCTTGGCTTCACCATCATAGAGCAGGATGGGCAGCTGTGAGCCTGGTGCAAAGTCCTTCAGCACATCCAGCGCCCTGTGGGCACCAGGTGGGAGGAAGGCAGCTGGCCCAAGGTGGGCAGAGGGCAGGGGTGGGTCTGGGGAGCAGGGTCTCACCTTCGTGTGTCCACAGTTGTGAGTGTGAAAGGTACACCCTTGAGGAGTAGGACCATGAAGAGCCGCTGACCGGAAGGGCAGTGCCCCACACTCTCACCATCCTCGCTGGCCTGGGTGGGTGGAGCAGAGGTGTTGGACTGGGAGCAGACCCAGGAATCCTGCCACCAGGCTGGGTGGGACCCTACCTCCCACTGCCAATGGGACTGGAGTCATGCCAGGGCTCCAGCTTCATTGGGCACGGCCTCTCCAAATATCCACTGAGAGCCCTTGACTTGGTCCCTGGGATGTGGGGAGGGCCATAAGGCTGCTGGAAGCCTGGAGGCTGCTGGGGGCAGGGCCTGAACTTAGGGACCTGTCCTCAGACCCTTATCTTCAGAACCTGGGCAAAGGTCAGGCCCCGAAGACTAATTGCAAGGGTGGGGTGGGCCCAGCTAGCCCACCAAACTGGGCCTCATGGCTGGCAGCACACTCCTCAGCTCCAAGGGTGGGGAAGGGGCCAGGAAGCCCCACAGACGGATCTGGTCATTGGCCTGAGAACTGATGGGAACCACCTGGCCAGCCCTCCTCTCCTGGTACAGGCACCCCAAGCTCCAGTCAGGCCTCTGATGCCAGCTACCCAGTTGGCACCTCCTTATCAAGGGGCTTTCTTCTAGGAGAGCTGGGCCAGGAGCCAAGGCTGGGAGTGGGACTGGGGCGATCCCAACCTCCATTGGGGGTGACTGCTTCCCCAGGCTGCCTTCCCCCACATTACTCAGCCTCTGGGGCTGCCCAAGCCCACCACCGGGGAAAGGGACCCACCCCTCAGCCTGCACCAGAAAGCACAGCCTCAAGAGCACCCTTTCCCGGACCGTCCCCCCTGCCCAGCCTGGCAGAACCTTTACAAACAGCTGGAGCTTGGCGGTTTCGGCCATGGTGGGAGCTGAGGCGTCCGCGCAGGGCGCTGGGTGGGACCTGGGAGCTCTTTAAGTCTCTCTGGGTGCCCCGCCCTCCCAGGCCTCTGGGCCCGCCCCATGGAGCCACCTAGGCGGGTGGAACAAGCTGTCAGGGCACTGAGCTGGCTGCCTGTGTGCAATGTGACCACAGGCACACAGACCAGTACTCCAAACGTGACAGTGACCAATTGGGGGACGGAGTTCTAGGGGCTGGCCATGGGCAGGGAGGCTGGCTCATGCCAGAAGTCTGATGCCCCAATGTGAGCGTGATGAGAAAGCCAGCGTCGTGGGTGCAGACCAGAGGATGGGGCGGCTGGGAGAGCCTGGGGCAAGGAACAGCCCTGCAGGGGGCAGCTCTAGGCCAGACCACTCACCATGATCACAGCTCAGGACCTGCTCCACGACCTTTCCTGCAGAAAATACCCCATTGTTAGGCCCTCAGCCTAGAAAGCCAGGGAGCTAGGACAGGTAGGAATTGACCAACCAACTGAAGTCTAGCCTCAGTTTCCCCATCTGCGTACCAGGATGTTACCAGAGAGATGAGCTCACCTGGAAGTGATGCCCTCCTCCTCCTGACAGCTCCAACCGTCAGGGTCATCGCCTTCAGGGCGGGCCGCATTCCATACATGCTCGAGGCCAGCAGGCAGATAAGCCTGGTTTTGGTGTTTAACCAACCCAACAGTGCAGGAGCAGCCAGGGGACTCCACGCTCCCATCCAGTCCACATAGGCTCAGGGCAGGTTTCTTACCCTCTTAACCTTTAGGCAGCACCAGGAAGGGTTAGAAGCCACAACCTTCATGGCCCAGGGGCTGGCCACATGGCCCTCAGCTGTGTGGAAAGGACTAGGGTAGTCCAGCTGCTCCGCAGGTGAACACTTGCTGCCCTGGCAGGCCTCCAGTTCCCCTGGAGCCCACAACTTGGTGTTCCTTTTGGGATTATTTGCTGTGCCTCTGCCCGCCCAAGACCTGGCACCTGGTGGAGGGAAACCCTAGGGGAGTTGCCCTGGGGACCCAGACTATCCACAAAGGACAATAGTTACAAGTGGGGTAGGTGTAGCCAGCCACCTTCCCCTCCCTGTGGTGAGGTGGTATCGCCTAGGCCAGACAATGCAGCCAAGGTGGCGCCACACCTACCCACTCACCTGCTTGCCTGCTTGACTTCTGGCCAGGGCCTCAGTCCATAGCTGGGTCCTCCTGAGCCAGTGTCAAGGCCGCAAGGCTGTCTCAGAAAAGCTCCCCATCCTCACTAGCCCTGCCTAATTATTGGAACTCACCCTGGTCAGAGATCCCAGACACAGACAGCATGTGACTCCAACATTGTTGGAGCCTCAGTTTCTCCAAGAGCCTTTGGCTGCTTCTCACTGACATTCCTGGGGTCCCACCCACTGGCTTCCTGTGTCTCTGAAGCCGGATGCCCCTCCATACCTGCTGGTGATTACCAGATGTTCTGTGTATATTTAGTCACCCTTACAGGTTCACAAAAAAAAGGGGACAAAATGGACAGAGCACATGAACAGTAGCTTGTGTCTGGCTACAATGCACTTTCATCTCAAGAGATAAAGCAAGATATGGCCGGGCACTGGTGGTTCACGCCTGTAATCCCAGCTACTCAGGCGGCAGAGATCAGGGGGATCACAGTTCGAATCCAGCCCAGGAAAATAGTTAGAGACCCTATCTCGAAAAAAAACCATCACAAAAAAGGGCTGGTAGAGTGGGTCAAGGTATAAGGTATTGACCCTGAGTTCAAATCCCAGTACTGAAATAACAAAAACTATGGTTCATCACTGCTATGGGCAGAGCCAAGGCGTACTGTAATGTGTCAGGTGTGGGCTGACAGCCTGTGCAGTGGCAGGAGTTGTCAGAAAGCCCCACTCCTGTGCCCTTGGCCCCTTGGAGTAAAACCCCCCACCACCTTCTTCTTAAAACAGCACACTTGCTACTGCATGGCAACGTCTCCATCCTTGTCTGTGGGAGTTTCCACTGTCCAGGGAGGACACAGGAGGCAGACTCACACGTACCCGCTATATGGGAAGAGTCTGAGATTAAGTGGTGTTATAAGCTGCATGTGCCCCCACCCCCAAAGCTTATGTTGGAGTCTTAACTCCCAGAACCTCAGAATGTGACCTGACTTTTTTTTGGTGGGACTGGGGTTTGAACTCAGGGTTTTTGCTCTTGGTAGGCAGGTGCTCTACTCCTTGAGCCACGCTCCATACCCGAGGTAGTGTCCCTTATACAGGTAAAGAGGGCCATTGGGGTGGGCTCTAATCCAATGGGACAGTGTCCTCGTCAAATGAAGAGATTTGGGTCTGGGGTGTAGCTCAGTGGTGGGGGATGAGGCCTAGCCTGTGTGAGGCCATTGGTTTGATCATCAGCACAACAAAGCCTGCAGGAGATGTGCGTGAAGAGACGCACGCACACGCACGGAGGGAGAACGTGGTGTGAGCAATGAAGGCAGATAGCAGGGTGACACACCTCGTTGGAGCCAATGGGTGCTGAAGACTGCTACATACCAGGAGCACAGCCTGCCTCAGGGCCCTCGGAGGAACCAGCCCGGCCACCCAGAACCTAGAGAGATTTCTGGCACTTTGTAAGGCAGCCATAGCAAACTGAGACAAATGGGGGGAAACAGGAAGTTGAAGAAAGCCATCGTTAGCTTGTGTTCTCAGCCTCTGCTTGCATACACCTGAGCAAGCGCCCTTTGCAGGACGGCTTGCGACAAGCGCTTTCTGTCCAGCTGCACTGTGAATTTTCCAACATATGTTCATAGTAAATGTTTTAAAGAAATGAAAATTTACTGTCACCAACCTGAACTTGACTTCTGACCTATCCAAGCCACGAACTTGTCCTTGAGCCCCCCACAGCCTTGCAGGGCCCCACATCCCAGCACGCACAGAGCAGCCCCTGGAGGTCCCTGGGCTCAAGGCTGCCTCCTTCTCCCCGTCCCGATCCCTGGACGGAGGGAGCCCAGGGACTACTGGGCTGGGACTCACTGATGTGGTAGAAACTGTCTCTCCAGAGGCCCTTGCCTGCTGCATCTCAACAGCTCTGTTCTGAAGAGAGACAGACCTTTGGGAAGGCCAGAGGACCTGGGATATGTTTGGTATTGGCAGACATTTGCACATGTGTTGAAATCCTTACTTCCAAGGTAATAGGAGGTGGGGTTCAAAGGCAATTAGAGCACAATAAGGCTGGAGGCTCACTAATGGGATTAGAAACCCCCCAGAGCTCTGGCTCTGTCTCCACGTGAGGACAGGGAAGTGTGTCCTCACCAGGACCCGCATGCCAACTCCCTGACTTGGGTCCCAGACTGCAGGACTGAGAAGAAATGTCTCTTGTTCACGAAGCCCCAGTCCACTCTACTTGCAGAGCAGCCCCAAATGGAGTAAATCTTGGAGGAATGGTTGATCCAGGCATCGGGCAGGGGAAGCAAAGACAAGTTCAAAGACTGTCAGGACAGGTCAAAAAACAAAACAAAACAAAAATCCCACAGGCTACCTTGGTAACTGGCCAAGTCTTGGGTGATGGGGCCTAAAAAGTCTGAGTGGAACTGTGCACTCAGACGTGGCTCAAATGGTCACATTCTGTGTATTTTATTTTAAACCTGCAATCCACATTGATCTGTTTTTAAAAGCAGGGGGGCTCTATTTGAGGGGAAAATGCCAACTAATAAATACAGAAATGAAATCATTAGAAAGTGGCCACTTTGTGGGCACAGCCTCTGGGCGACAGGATGTGAGAAACAGGCTATTCCTACAGTGAGAAAGTGCCCCACACATCCAAGGGAGAAGGGCCTCCCAGTGGACAACTGCAGCTGCACCTTGGTCATCACTGGCCATGGGACAGAGCCTCCTACCCATAGCCATGGCGTTGCCCTCTGCCGTTCTCACCAAAAATGTGCAACGTGCATCTGACCCACCCAGATCTCAGACGCACTTGTCAGACCCGTCCTGGTTTGACAGAAAGGAAAAGGTGGCAAAGCACTTCACTGGAGCCATGGAAATGAGCAACTCCAACTGGGACGTGGGGTTTGGAAAAAGCTATAAAAGACATGCCTGGATGCCTGGGGCCCTGGGGTGACAGTGCTGCATCCATGCAGTCTCCCGAGAGGTCCTCACTCTTGGGAGAGAGCAGCTGCTGGCTCTGGGCTGCTGCTTACTTTCAGACAGGTCAGAAAGTGTTTACAGAGTGAAACACAGTGAGCATGCTGAGATCAACGACCGCGAGCCTGGGCTGAGGCCTGAGGTGTGCACTGTTCTCTTCATGCAACTCTGCGGAACGCTCAAAGTGCACTAAGACACCGGTGAGGGAAGGCCTTACAAATCATCACAAATTCAGTAGCTTAAGGCGACTCATCTGTGGATGTCTCACTGTCTCTGCGGCAGGAGTTGGCAGGGCTTGGCTCAGCAGGGGTCTTACTGGGTACTGGATGCTAACTGGCTGTTCTCCCTTTGGAACTCATTTTTTTTTTTTCTTTAGTGGGACTGGGGTTTGAACTCAGGCCTTCACACTTGTAAAACAGGTTAATGACATGTTTAGGCCTTCTTTGGCTGTCTGAGTCAGAGAGACCTCAGCTCAGTGACCCCAGCCTCTAAGGAATCCAGCATACTGTGCAGCTGTCATAGCAACCACAAAGATGCAGTGCCCTGGCACACCTGGCCACACGGGCCCTCTCCTCCCTCATTCTGCCTCCCATGTGGGGCCAGCCCTCTACCCTCCTAAGAGGTCTTCTGTGTCTGCCACCCCCCACACAAAACCAAGGCTCTTAAACAGTCTAAGGTGGGAGTCTGACCCTGTCCAAGCCGAAAACCATTTATCCTGCTGTCCTGTCTCTGCCTGGAGTGTACAAGGCTCCATCGATAGGAACCTCAATTCCTGGGCCCCACTCCTTCTGAGGCCTCTGTGTATGCTCTCCTGTCTGGGATTTCTACTTTATGCACTTCTGCTAGATTTCAGTACTGGCCTAAAGGTCACCTCTACCCTCCAGGGATGGAGACAACCCAGTATGTGCAGGCCCAGTATGGGCACTAGACCTGGGGGGAGTCAGGTCTGAAGGAGGCTTAGATAGGCCAGGTAGGAGCCTGAGACAGGGCCACAGTGACCCCAGCCCAAGGGCGAGCCTCCTACAAGCTGTCAGCCATCCTGCAGAGCAACACAGAACAGCCCCTCCATGAACCCACTTAGGCCCTGCCCCCAGTGCAGGGGCCCAGACTGCGTGGGTGGGAGAGGGGAGGGAGTGGTTCCTGGCCCTTGCCCCACACACTTTCCCCACACCTGATCAGGGCAAAGGCAGTGGCTACAACCAGGCCTGTCCACCCCAACACCCTGCCCCTCACACAAGCTCCGCGGGCTTTTTTGCTTATTTATTGAAAACAAACATCTGTGCGGTATGTACAGGTCCAGCTCCCAGGTGGGTGGTGGGCAGGGGCCAAGCTGGGTGGGATAGCAAAGGCAGCTGGAGGGGAGCGGGGAGGGGACAGGCCCCTCACCTGGCCAACAGGACCAGCTTCTCCTTTCCTGCTACTCCACCTGTGCTATGGTAGCCCCTCCCCAGCTATGTCCACGGCTTCCTACAGATGGCCCCTGTCTGCAGAGCTGCAGGCTGGGGGAACCCCTTCTTAAAGCAAAATAAGTAGGTGAACTTCCTGGCTGCCACTGCAGTCCTGGACACTGCAGCTGCCATATCAGCCATCAGTGTAAGAGAAGCCAAGGCAGGAGGCCAGGCCTGGCCAGACTCACGCCACTGCGGAGAGGGGTCGGTTGGTGCCTGGGGCAGCCCATGTCACCCCAGAAAAGTGAGCAGAGCTGGGCAGGGCAAGGGCCAGGCCAGGCCCCTGAGACTTTAAGGCAAAGCAGGGTGAGGGTATGTGCAGCCCAGGGCCGGGCCAGCCTTTGGCACAAATAGGGGAGGATGGTCGCAGTGACCACGGGGCAGGGCCAAGGATGGTGGTGGGCTGGAAGAGGGAGAGATGCCCCTTGGTCCTGAACCCCTCTCCAGGGTCTGGCAGGTGTGCACTGAGGGTATGAATGGAGTCTCGGTCACCACCTGCCTGACTTCTGTCCCCACAGTCGCATCCCTGACTCAGCGCCTGGTGGTCAGCAGAGTGTGTCCGTGTTGAAGGAGAGCTGGGCCTGGCAGAGGGCAGACAGGCCGGACTTGAGGAAGCAGTCTAGGTACCCCCAGTGAGAGTCAGGGATGCTCACATTGAACCCTGCCTCTGGCCTGGATATTAGGGCTTCCCTGAGATCCTCCGGTCTCTGTCTCCCCACTGAGCACTCTTTCAGCGTATGGGCTCCTCCTGTGGCCTCTCTGATGACCGTTCTGTCCATGTGTCTCCCTTGTCCCTAGTCTCTGGTCCCTTCTGCTCCCATCTCTGCTTGGGTGCCCAAAGCTTCCAGTGTGTTCTGGGTTCTTCAGGTGTCTCTCTTCTCTGCCAATCCCGTATCCCCTCTCTATCCCAGACCTCGGCACAAGCAAGTCCTTCTCTGCCCCAACCTATAGGCAATAGTTCCCCCGACCTGTCCTTCAGCCTAAGCCCTTGGGTGGCCTAAGTTTCATGGGCAGTGAGACCTGGTGGGAACCCTGATTGCTGAAAGGACACCCACTCCTCACCCGCTCCTCCTCAAAGCTGATGAGGCCCTCGTCCTCCGTGTCCAGGTCCTCGGGCTCGTCTACCACCAGTGCCCGGAGCTCCGTGGGGGCAGGCCGGGGCCTCAGCAGGCTGAGGAGGCGGCCCAGGGGGGACTGCAGGGCGGAGGGAGGCTCGGTCTCTTGCTGCTCCAGGTTGTCGCTCTGCTTCTTGGCAAAGTTCACGAACACCTGGTGGACAGAGGCAGCAGTGAGCAGGGGTAGACCCAGGAGGGCAGCCCACCCCCACCCCTGCCCAGAGCACTCACGTTGTCCAGGGTGGTCTGGCTGACTGAGTAGTCCTCAATCCCCAGCACACCCACCACTTGCTCCATCTTGCTGAACACCAGGGCCAGAGAGATATGCTCAGACTTGAGCTGGTACTGGACCTTCGTGTGGTGCCGCTCCTGGGAGGGGGCCGGGGGGGACGAGGTCAGGGACCACTGAGCAGGACACCGACCATCCCCACGAGGAGGTCCTGCTCACCTTGAGCACAGCCTCCGGGAAGTTCCGGTTGAAGAACCGCACCACGTCTCTCACATTCTGGCTGCTCTTGGTCCTCACGGTAATCATGTAGCCATCTCCAAACCTGACAGGACACACCCATGGCCGGGAGCCCCCACCCTGCCCGCTGCTGTCCCATGCCCTGTTCCTGACTCACCTGTTCTTCAGGTGCTGGATGCTACCCAGACAGCGCAGACGTCCATTCACCATGATGGCCAGCCGCGTGCACAGGGCCTCACACTCCTCCATGCTGTGGGCAGACACGCAGATTGGCACTGGAAGGGGCTGCAGGGGACCAGGGTTGGGGTGGGGGGGGCACACCTGTGTGAAGTCAGCACCACCGAGCGCCCTGTCTTGATGAGGTCCAGGATGAGGTTCCACAGGAAGCGCCGGGCCTTGGGGTCCATGCCAGTGGTGGGCTCGTCCTGGATGGGGTCAGGTCAGCTGGCTGCCGCTCTCCTACGTGGCCCTATCTGGCCACACCTGCCTGCTCCCTTAGCCTGGCTCACCAAGAAGAGCAAGGCGGGGTACCCGCCCCCGACCACCTGGGACTCACCAGGAAGATGAACGCTGGGTACCCAATGAGCGCAATGGCTGTGGACAGCTTCCGCTTGTTACCACCGCTGTAGGTGCCAGCTGGCTTGTCTGCATACTTGGTCAGCTCCAGCTTCTCCAGAGCCCACTTCACCACCTGACGTCAAGTGTGGGCTTCACCACGAGGCACCCACCACAGCTTACCACAGCCCACCACGCCCACCAGGAGCGCCTCCTCACCCGTGCCTCGTCCTTCCAGGGGATGCCGCGCAGCCGCGTGTACAGCTGCAGGTGCTCACGGGCTGTGAGCTCGTCGAACAGGGCATCAAATTGCGGGCAGTAGCCGAGGCTCTGCTGGACCTGGAGCAGCTCCTTCAGCACGCTGGGGACACAGGGCCGTCAGCATATGGTGGGCACAGTCACCCCGCCCCCCCTGCACCCCGCCCGCACCTGTGCCCATTGACGAAGGCCTCGCCCCCTGTCGTACTCTCGTCGCCGGTCAGCATCTTGAAGGTGCTGGTCTTGCCCGCGCCGTTGACGCCCAGGAGGCCAAAGCACTCTCCAGGGCGCACCCCCAGGCACAGGCGGTCCACCGCCAGGATGCGACCAATCTTCCGGGACTTGTACACCTAGCCAGGGAGCCTGCCCACTCAGCGGGGCAGGGGGCGGCGGGGAGGCAGGCTGCCCTGCCTGGCCCCACCCACCCATTTGCCTGGGCCCCCATCCCTGCCCTGCCACGTGGCCTGCTGCCGTCCAGGTCACTCTCCCATAGCCCAGGACCCACCTTGGTCAGGTTCTCGATCTTGACCATGTCATTGTCAGCATCCCCACGAAGCACTCGCTGTCTCTCACTGGCTACGTCCACGTCATCCTCCACAGGTTTGGTAGACACGGGCAGGCGTCTAGGGGGACAAGATGGGTAGGACCTGGCCAGGCCACCCACTCCTGCCACCCGTCCCTTCCAACACTCACTCAGCTCTCTCTGTGTGCCATGGAGGGAAGGGTGGCCCCTGCCACCACCCGGTACCCTTCACTTACTGTGGCTGCCTCAGGAAGTTGTACTGGCACATGATGGTGAGGAAGAAGCCCACAAAGCCTTCAACTGTCATGGCCACCAGCCCACGTGTGACAATGTCCCATTCGAATGGGGACTTCATCTTGTCAAACTGGCCTGTGGGGCAGCCAGCTCAGGGCTTGTGTGTGGCCTTGGGGAGCCCCAGCCACCCCTGCACGGAGCCCCGGAGGTCCCTGGAGGCCCACGCTCACCGATCTTGGCATAGTACTCATTGATGTACTCATTGTAGGCCATCTCCATGAGCCCATGGCCCAGGTTGTAGTTGGGGAAGATGAGGAAGCAGCTTTTCAGATAACTGTTGACGACCTTCAGGTCCTGGGGGCCGGGCACAGCCTCAGCACTGCTGCCCCAGGCCACATCCCCCTGCCCGGCACCCTGCCCACCCACCTTGTCATGCTCAAAGAGCTGCAGCAGGAAGGTGGCTACGGTGGCTGTGATACCGATGAAGAGGTTGATGACGATGAGGAACACGTAAGCTGAGCTGGGGACCTCGAACCAGAAGGAGGCTGGGTACATTATGGGCGTGATAGACCACCTGTGGGTGGATGGACAGTGGTCACTGGGTGGCCTGGGTCCTGCCTGCATCTGTCCCCTCCCACCGCCCCTTACCCATAGAGCAGGAACAAGGAGAGCACGGCCGGGAAGTTGGTGGGCGAGGTGTAGGCCGGCAGGTCGAACACAAAGAGGATGATGACACAGCAGGTGGCAGGGACCAGGTAGTTGAGCTGCAAAGAGGGGTGGCTGGTGAGAAGCAGGGGCAGGGGCAGGGGACAGGAACAAGAGAGGGCTATGAGGGGGGCACACCATGTCCCACACGTAGTTGGCCAGCCAGTAAATGACAGGGTTGCAGCCACTGACGAACTGCAGATGCTTGGCTTTGGTGGACTTTTCAGCCACGAGGAAGACCACAAAGCTGGCTGGCACAAAGGACATGGCCACAATGATGAAGATGGCGATGACCACATCTGTTCCCTGCAGCCTGGAGGGAGTCAATGCTTAGTCTCACCTAGTGGTCAGGACCACAGTGGGCACCTGCCCTGCCCCACCCCACCACCCTACATACAGGTAATCCAGGGAGAGGCTGGCACTCGTCTTATTCATGGGGTGGTTGGTGACGGTGATGCCTGGGTACAGGGAGGGCAGCTTTAGGCCCCTACTCCACCCAAGCTCACCCCAGCCTCACCCCAGCCAGTAAGCTCAGAGTGAGCTGCGGCATCTCCCCTTCTCTCCCAGCCCACCCGGGTCCTGCCGCCCCAGCTCACCGTAGGCTGCAGGGTTGCCCTTGCTCTTGGGCAGGTTAGCACGCAGGATGGCGTTGTTGAGGCTGTTGAGGTAAGTAGGCATGCTATGATAGCCCTTGTTATTATAGAGCACCTGGGAAAAGATGAGGGGCTCAGAGAGGCCCACGGGCCGGGGGGACCACAGAGGGCAGGACCAGATGCCGTGAGGCCCCAGGGTAGCAACTCACCTGGGCCGCCCTTCGCACTGCGATCTTCCGCACCATGGGTGGGGCCCGGGCACCAAACGAGGCCGGGATGGATTTCAGGACATTGCCGAAGGTGATGGCCCCGTACCTGGGTAAGCAAGTGGGAGGGACAGTGAGGCTAGGCGGGCAGTGGCTGGCTGCCTCTTGCCCATAGCTGCTCCCAGCCAACTCACCGGTGCAGCCGAAAGCGGTCAGAGGTGAAGAGCAGGTACTCAGAGACATTGTGGCCGGTGATGTCGGTCAGGATGTCACCTGTGACCACTCGCATCTGTGGCGGGTGCCCACCCACACTGCTGGGGCAGGAGAAGCCAGTGCCCTGTGCGGAGCAGGTGCAGCGGACAGGCTCCCGCACCAGGCGTGGCAAGGAAGGCACTGATGTCCATGTCTCTGTGGGCACAGTGTGGCGCAGTGAGGCGGACCTCCTACGGCCCATTCATGACCCCATCAGACCTCCACAAGTTGGTACCTGGCCCGGTGGTAGGTGGCAGGGAGGTGTTCCAGGTTTGCAGCAGGTCCTCATCCAGAGACACAGGGGAGTCGGACGGGGCTGGCGAGGGTGGGGGTGGCACGAAGTTGGACAGCGGGAGCCCCTGTGTGAAGGACTCCAGGCACATGCTGTCAAAGAACCTTGCGGCCAGCAGACGGGACTCTCCGCTGCTCAGGTTCAGTGTGGGTCCCAGTGAGCCATTGGCAGGAGACTTGAGCACACAGGTAGCACCCACGCCTGAGGGCAGCCGGAACGTGCTCACCAGCTGCTGGGGGCTGGCGTCAGGCGACAGCCGCAATCTGGAGGTATGATAGTGAGTTGAGGGCCGCCCATCTCACCGCCCGCCCTCCCTCCCTCCCTCCCCGCTGCCTGATCCTGCAGCCCTGCCTGTGGCCTCACCTATACTCCAGACGCTCTTCATTGGCATAGGGGATGAAGTTACCACGGGCTGGGTGTAGTTGTGGTACTGGGAGGGTGACAGGACCAGCGGGGGCAGGTCACCTAGTGGGTGAGCAGGAGCCCTAAGCAGGTTCTGACCGCCTGCCAGCAGCCCCCAGGCCTTGGTACCCTCTTCCCAGTACACAGAGGGCCCAAGCTTGGGTCTGGCTTGCCAGGAGGCAGGACTCTCTGTGTGTCTAAGTAAGGTCCAGAGCTGGCAGGGAATCTCTGAGCGCCAAGGACCCACCAGCGTCAGATGCTAGCCCTGCCCCCCCACCACATGAGGCCTGGTGGCCATACCGATCTCCGGAACAGAGAGTGCCACAGTCATGGCCACGCAGACAAAGAAGGCTGGCAGCAGGATCTGTGAGCACAGCGCTTTGGAGTTGCGGCGGGCACAGTGGAAGCGCTTGACCAGGAGCCCGTGGAACTGCCGCACCTTCAGCCACCAGCCCTCCAGCTTGTGGCTGCCCTGGCCCACCCGAGTGAGGGCCTCCGCTTCGGCCTCTGTGCAGAGAGGCAGGGGCTGAGCAGGAAGCCCTATGCCACCTTCTGGAGCCCTCCCCAGCACCCCCAGCCACCTCCACCTTGCAAGCTGACGTTGTCTGGATCCTGCAGGTTATCAAAGAGGGGGCAGTAGTCACCATAGACATCAGAATAGCCAGCTCCCTCATCGCCCCGGGCAGAGCCCACTGAAGATGCAGACTGCAGTGATGCCTGTGACTGGGCCAGCTCTGAGCAGTGGGCCAGGTTGCCAGCTTGACTACTCCCAGATGCCGAAACTTCTGCCCCAGGTAGCACATCTTTCCTGGACTCCTTCACATCTACCACAGAAGGGAGAGAGGGATGGAGGGAGGAGGAAGGGCTCAGGGCTCAGGCTCCCCTCAGGCAGGACCCCAGGCCCTGTTCTGACCCTACTTCCCAGCCCATGTACCAGTCCAGGACCTGTGTTCACCATACCCACCCACCCAGGACCTCATGCTGACCCTGAGGGGTCCTGGACCCTCTTTCCCACCCAGGACACCTACTCCCAGAGATCAGGGAGGAGTGTTGTCCCCAGGCATAGTGTAGCCCCGTGGAGTGGGGCAGGCTGGCTAGCTGGCTAGCGGCCTGGGGACTCACCAGCCTCACTGTTCTCCAGTGACTGGTCCTCCTCAGACACCTTAAGGAACACCTCCTCCAGGGTGGTGTCCATCAGCCCAAAACTGCTCAGGTGCAGCGCGTCCAGATTGTGCTCTAGGTGCTATGAAGGGGCGAGGTGAGGCCAGTGCAGGTGGACATGTAAGGCAGGGCTGTGCCCGCCTCCTCCACAGCCTGGTCCCTGCCCCCACACCTGGAAGAGGCGCTCAAATGCCCCCTTCTTGGCGGCCTCACTGGGCAGGATGTAGGAGAGCTCTGTGCTTGTGTCTGAGACCAGCAGGCAGGAGGTCACATGCTTGCGGATGAACTGAGACACCTGGGGCTCCGAGCAGCTGCTCAGCTGGGCCCGACCTGGGGGACTGGACGCCAGCACTGGCTCTGAGGAGGGAGGTGGTACAGGGAGAAGATTCACTAGGGGCTGCAGAAGAGGGACCCTCAGTGAGAATCCAGCCAGGTCAAGATGGGACTTAGAAGGGTCTGGGCCCATCAGGTGTCCTGGGCCTGATCAAGTGAGGGTGAGAGTCCACCTCTCCACCTTAGGGTCCCAAGTAGGGAGCCCTGGAACAGGGATGGCCAGAGGCCAGCTCAGACAACCTCAGCACAGACCTTGGGAAGCCCCAGGCTCGGCAGGACGCTTGACCAGTGTGAGGCGGTAACCATCGCCATAGGCACCCTTGAGGAAGAGCGGGGAACCACAGCACTTGAGCTTCCCATGGGAGATAATGGCAATGCGATCCCCCAGCAGGTCAGCCTCGTCCATATGGTGGGTAGACAGGAGGATGGTGCGGCCTGGAGGAAGATCCAGATCTGGTGTAAGGGGCGTGGGGCAGGCTCTACACCCATTTGTCTGTGTACCCACTGCCCAGCCAGTAGGACTTCTGCAGTAGGAAGTACCAGGACCACGGCAGCCTGTTCATGTCTGGGGGTAGGGGAGGGGAGGCTGATCTAGGGCCTGGGGTGACTGTTCACCACATGGGCCATATGTGCCTATGCCAGCCTGGCACCCTGCTCACCCGGTTTATACTTCAGGATGATGTCCCAGATGGCACGGCGAGCATAAGGGTCCACTCCAGCTGTGGGTTCATCCAGGATGATGGCACGGGAGCCGCCCACAAAGGCAATGGCCACCGAGAGCTTGCGTTTCATGCCGCCAGACAGGGTCTGCACCAGTGAGTGCCGCTTGTTGGACAGCTCCAGGTCCTCAATCATCCTGGGGACCAGAGAGGAGGGTGATGGATGACCTGACACGGAGGGCCAAGGAGGGGATTATGGAGCGCCCTTGTCTCTGGCCAAGCCCCATCCTCCACCCACTTGTCCATCTCTTTGTGGATCTCCTCCTGCGCCATGCTCTTGAGCCGTGAGTAGAACCAGAGGTGCTCCTCCACTGTGAGACGGTCGAAGAGTACGTTGTGCTGTGGGCACATGCCCAGGTTCTTGCGGATCTCGTCCATCTCTGTGCGGATGTCGTGCCCATAGATGGTGGCAGATCCCGACGTGGGTGGGAACAGGCCAGTCAGGATGGACCTGGGGGAGAAGGCAGGGTCATAACCTCCACAGCCTGCCTGGCTCACAGATTAAGCAATTCTGTCCCCAGACACTCACATGGTGGTGGTCTTGCCTGCCCCGTTGTGGCCTAGGAAGGAGACCACCTGGTTTTCGTAGAGATTGAGGCTCAACTTGTTCAAGGCCAGCTTCTTGTCATTCTTGTAGACCTTGGTGAGCTTGTCTACACAGACGACTAGGGGCAGGTGGGTGGGCTCCTCCTCCATGCCACGTGTCTCCTCTGCACCAGGGCTGTGGGTTAGCAGGACAGGGGCAGCGCTGAGGCTGCCCTAGGCCCCCAAACCCAGCACCTGCCCCGGCCAACATTCTAGCCCTGGCCTCACCAAAGCGCCGGCTCTCCATGGCACAGGCCTGGTCCTCCTCCATGATGCTGAGGCGGGGGGCATGCACCCATGGCCAGCTCCACTCCCACGTCTCTGTGCGCCCACTGCCCAGCCAGTAGGACTTCTGCAGTGGGAAGTACCAGGGCCGGGGCAGCCCATACATGCCTGGGGGTCGGGGAGGGGAAGATGACCTAGAGCCTGGGGTGACTGTTCACCACATGGGCAGGTTGCGGCCCCTGCTGCATTTGGAAGCCCGAAGTCCTGGCCCCACCACCAGCTGGGACCCTGCCTCCAGCTTCTCCCTACCCTTCCACAGGTGGGCCGGTACCTGGGTGCACAGCTTCGATGTACCATGTGAGCACACCATAGACCACCGCATCCACCATCAGCATGGTGACAGCGAGGAGCAGATTGAAGTCATCCCCTTCCACTGGGGACTGGCTAAAGGTGTGCCACTGGATACCCACTCCTGCCACTTCGTACAGCGCAAAGTACTTGGAGCCCAGGCCAAAGGCTGTTGTGGACATCAGGGACTGAGGAGACAGTGATACATATCAGTGGGTGGGCTGAAGGGTGCGCCTCCCACCCTCACCCCACCCCACCCCAAGCCTGGCCCAGTCGGCCATAACCCTCACCGCGATGCACTTCTCAAAGGCGGTGATCTTATCGTGGGCCACCTCCTCACGGATTGCCACATACATGTAGGGCACATAGCTCAGGAAGTAGATGATACCACCGCAAGCTGAAGCCAGTTTGGCCTTGGAGTACAGCACGGATACCAGGAAGCTGGGGCAGGTGGCCACATGGCCATGAGCCATACAACCCTCTGCATCTCACCCAAAGTCCCCTGGTCCCTGCTGGGGTGCAGGGCAGCTCCGAGAGATGTCCCCGTGTCCTCGGGTGCACTCCCCAGCCCTGGTCAGCGCTTACCAGAACATGATGGTGGCCACTGCATAGACAGCCAGGAAGATCCAGATGATGACTACATGGCTATGCATGAGCACCTGGCCGTATTTGAGGATGGCGGTAAGCGCCGTCACCGAGATGGACAGCTGTACAAAGCCTGTGATGAACCAGGCCACCCAGTGCACGGCGTTGTTCAGACCCATCGTCTTCATCACCTACGGGAGGTGGGCGCAGGCAAGGTGACTTGGGACGGGGTGCTGGGAAAGCACGGTCCTGCCCTTCCCCGCAGCCTGGGAAGGGGGTACACCTGAAGCTGCCCAGGGCCCCCACCTCCTTGAGCCGATGCTCCTTCTCCGCCACGATGTGCTGGATAGTCATGGCCACAGAGTAGACCCAGGAGATCACCATGCACAGCGGCATCATGTGCTCGATGACAAACAGGAAGCTGGGGCGGGGGACAGGGGATGGGGTGAGGCAGGGCTCAAGCCTGGCCCCAAGCCTGGGGCAGACCATACTCACTCATCACGGGTGTAGCAGGGGTAGGGGAACATCTGCACGTAGTTGCCTGGTTCCACCACATCATGTCCCACGAACGTGTTGATGATGGCACGTTCCATCATGTCTGGGGGGTGGGGGCAGCCATCAGAGGCAGGTTGACCCCCCTCCCGACCCACCTCGGCAGCTCAGCTCTGCTCACTTTCTCACCCTGGATCCAGACGAAGCCATAGAGGAAGTAGAAGCGGCCTCCAGTATTGGGCCCCGGCCGCCAGTAGGCCCGGCGAATCTCGTTGGTTTTCTCAGTGAAGCTGGAGTTCTGGCGGATCTTGTAGTGCACGTGAGGGGGGAGTGAGCCGTCCTTCCTTGTCTGGAAGATCACACCTGGGGACAGAAGGCTGGTGGGGTCCAGGGGGTGGGCAGGGGGCATGGAGAGGGTGGGGAGAGCCTGGAAGTAGGGCTAGAGGGGGAACAGGAGCAGGCCTGGGGGGTAAGGCAGTTTGGAAAAGGTGGAACAGGGCTGGAGAGGGATGGGGGCGTGTAGGACAGGACTAGCACACAGAGGTGGGGCCAGGTGAGGCAAGGCTGGAGAAGAGGCAGGTGTGGAGAGATATGGGGCCAGCAAGGGGGCAGGGTCAAGGCAGGGGCCAAGGAGTGGGAGAGTAACAGGGAACTCCTGATGGGGACAGAGTGGGGCCAGGGTGGTGAGCAAGCTGCTCACTGGCAAACACTGTGACGTTGTCCTGGTAGGCCTGGTTGAGTGTGTAGTTGACAATGCTTTCTTCATCAGGAAAGCCCTTGAAAATGTCCACGCTCACCTGGGGGGAGGTACATTGTTGGAGCCTGCCCTGGACGTGTATGGGGAACCCGCAAGGCTTGCCCACCCCACCTTGGACATGAACTGGATCCAACCGCAGGCCGCATTGTCAATCGTGTCCAGCTGCTGCAGGAGAGCTGTTCCATTGGGCAATGAGAAGTTGTCCTGGCGCAGGGCGGGTGGCAGCTCATCCAGTGACAGGTTCAGTGCTTCTGGGTGTAGCCGCAGTTCTGCCACATACTAGGGGTGGAGGGTGGGCTCAGAAGGCAGTCCTGCCTGCCCACCCAGGGAGAGGGGCTTCAGGCAGCGGCTGGCCCCCTCCCACCCATACCCACAGCACCTGCTGCAGCCAGTGCAGGTGCTGTTGCAGCCTGCCCTGCTCCAGGAAGCTGCGAATCTCAGCAGAGATGTTGAGCCAGACCTGGGCGTAATGGGTCACGTTGCCCACGAAGGCAAAAGTCTCATTGGCCTGCAGAAGGTGAGTGCTTAGATTACGGGGCACCAGGAAGGACCCCATCCCAACTGGGCAATCTCTACTCACCCCCTCCAAGAGCAACTGGCCCTTCCCAACAACCCTGCTCTGACCAAAATTCCATCTGAGGGCCCCTCCCCCACTACTTTTTTTTTTTTTGTGGTACTGGGGCTTGAGCTACACCTTGAGCCACAACACCAGCCATTTTTTGTGATGGGTTTTTTTCGAGACAGGGTCTCATGAACTATTTTCTTGGGCTGGCTTTGAACCGTGGTCCTCCTCATCTCTGCCTCCTGAGAAGCTAGGATTATAGGTATGAGCCACTGGCGCTTGGCTTCCTTCCCCCACTTTTATGTGGCACCCACATGGAACTCACTCTGCCCTGTGCCCCACAGCAACACAGCCTCGCAGAACCCCACCTCGCTCAGCAGCTGTGCCTTCCCAGGAAGGGCAGCTGACATTTGGCCGTCATCTCTCCCCACTCATCCTAGAGACCTCTCCTTGCTGAGGCCCTGCCAGGTCTGGCTTCAACTTGTCCAGATGAGAACTCTCCTCGGGCCCCTAGTCCTCTCTCCATGCTCCATTCACTAGATGCTGCTGGGGGCAATCTCTGGACATACCCCTCTTTGGACCACCAGCCCCTCCAGTGCATCTCCACAGAAGGCTCACAGAGCTCCCAAGGGCAAAAGTAGCCAAAATGCCTCTGTGCCTTGAACCCCCCACAACCTGCAGAGGCATGTGAGAGCAGGTCCCTCATGAGGCCACACCCCTCCCTTGCCAAGTCTACCCAACACCTCTGCGCAGGCACAGGCCTGCAGAGCAATCTGTCAGGCCTTGCTTGTGTGTTCCTGCCTGGAAGACACACAGCTCAGGCACCAAATGTGCCAGACTTGCACACCTTGAGGATAACACGGTCTGCCTCAGAGCCCGCCGGTGCATACAGGATTTTGGGGTTGCTGGTCATAAGGTGCACAAGAAGCCCCAAGTTCCGCTGTTCCTTGCTCGTGAAGCCCAGGGAGCTCATGTTGCCCCTCCGCAGTGCCTCAGGCTCGATGGTGCTGGGGGAGGAGGTGGGGCATCAGGACAGGGGCAAGGCTTGGACTAGGGCAGAGTGTATGACGAGGTGGGGTGTCAGGCAGTGGGGTAAAAAAGGGACATCAGGCCAGGCACGGGGCAGGGCATCAAATGATTCCTCCAGCATGGTGCCCATGCACCAAGGACAGGCCATGGGGTCAGATCCCCTCCCCCAGCATCCTCCTCACTGACCTTCTAACCCCCTGCCTCTGACCTACCGGTTGTTGCCACACAAGATGGGCTGCAGGCCTGCCCAGAGCTGCACGAAGGCTGAGCACTGGCCCTGAAGCATGTCTGGGGAGGCTGAGGCTGCAGTCGACTGGGCGCTCTCCTCGCCCGTACTGTTGGAGGCTGTGCCCGGCCCCATCCCAGTGCTGTTAGCTGCTCCACCAGGGCTGCTCACTGGAGGTGCTGGGGACCGGCCAGTGCAGGCGCCTTGGGGCAGCAAGAGGGCCAGGGCTGACAGGACATTCACATCCTGCAGAACCTTCTGGGCATCCAGCAGGTCCCCTAAAAGCGCCTGCAGGCTCCGTGGAGACGGTGTCTGCTGCTGGGGGTCTGAGCTGTTGGGGGCATCCAGTCCCAGCTGCAGGGAGACAGGGCATGGAGGGCAATGCAGACCAGAAGGGAGGTAGGATTGTTTCTGGGGGCGGGGGGGCGATTCAGGTGGTGACAGAGACCAGGGGTGAACAGGGGAACACCAAGAGGGGATGCAGCTGTGGGAAGGAGTGCTGAGGGTAAGAGGGTAAGGGGAGCCCTGGCCAGGGACTGGAGATACAGACTGGGGTGTGAAAAGGGCAGGGGCCTGAGTCATGGTTGGAGGGCATTGGCTACCCCACAGGAACCATCCCATACACAGCCTGGAACCAGGAGTCCCCAAAGGTCCAAGTAGCCACAGCACCTCATTCAGGCTGGTCAGCAGGGCAGCTGGCAGGCAGGACCTCACCTGCTGGGCAATCTTAGCCATGTCCAGCTGGTTCCGGAGCTCAGTGGCCAGCTCTGTGAAGCGCTGGGCACGAGCTGCAGCCTGCCCACTGCAGACGGCATCCCGGTAGCCCTGCAGAGCCCTCTGCTGACCCTCAGGCACAGTGAGTATCCGGCCCAGCTCCCTGGAGCCTGGTGCACATGTAAGCTGCTCCAGGAGGCCAGGAGCCAGCAGCAGTTCCTGGGGATAGGGCACGAGGGTCAGCTATAGTCATAGAGGGCTTCCACCCCAAACTAAAGGCAACCACAGGCCTGGACAAGATGCCCTCTGTCAGGTCTTGTCCTGCCCCACCCACCCGGCCTGAACCTATCTACCTGGGTCCCATAGTATTGGTGGGGGAGTGAGCACTCATGTTACCATTGTGCCTCCCCCTCCCCATGCCAGCCATAAACTCCCAGGAGGAGTTCCATATTACAAAGGGGGAGCCCCTTCCTCAGCCCCTAGGCAGGAGCCCTCACCCAGGGGCAGGCCCCTCACCTCCATCCGGAACAAGGGATTGCTGCCCAGGTGGCTCCAGGGCTCCTGACCCCTGCGAAAACCTGACTCCCTGTCCAGAGCAGGCAAAGGGCCAAAAAGCAGGCGATAGACCTAGAGTGTGAGGGGCACCACTTAGGCAGGGGCTCCAGAGCCTCGCGGGAAGCTCAGCTGCCTTTGCAGCCCCTTCCCAACTGCTGTAACCAAGAGTTATGGGGTGGGCAGAGGGCAGGGGCAGGACTAGGCACCACCCCATGAGCACTCATGCCCACTGCAATACATCACCTCAGGTGGGTGCACGTGGGCAGCCAGGAGAGCCTGGGCTGTGCTGTTGGGCAGGGACAGGTTCTGCATCAGGAAACGCCAAAGTTCTCGTGGGTCCCTGGCCATCGAGTCCAGAGAAAAGGAGGACACTGGACAGGCAAGAGGATAGGACTGAATGACCAGCTCCATCTGGAGCTGAGGTGCACCAGATGGGCTCAGAGCCAAGCCCCCCAGCACCACGGTATGATAACTGCGGCAGGCAGCTGGCCTAGGCCGGCCTGGACCTCATAGGTGGGGACTGGGCACCATGCAGACGCAGGGGCCCAGGGGCAGAGTGAAAAAGCTGGGCATCAGCTCTGAGCCCAGCTGACAGCAGAGCTTAGGTCCTCCCTCCCAACCCTCTCCCCACAGAATGCACCTGCAGACTTGTCTGGGTGGCTCTCCCAGGTGCTTGGGCCTGAGCTGAGAGCCTCCAGGTGCTGGCGCAGGGCCTGGAGCTCTGAGCCCAGGCTGGGCCTAGCTGGGTCGAACAAGTTGTCTTCCTCCACTACGCGGTTGAGGCGCTCCAGAAGCTGGGTGACCCTGCACAACCACAGGGATGTCAACCATGGGGTGGGGTGAGGAGAGGGATCACCGGCTCCCAAGAGGGGGTGGGGGGCACTCACGTGGAATTGGCGTACTGCAGGAAGCCGAACTCGTCCCGCTGGCCATCGGGGCACAGGGACTGCATGACAGGCAGGATGCCAGCAGATGTCAGAGGTGCTGCTGTGTAGAAGGCTTGGAGGGAGGAATCAAGAAGGAGAAGGGACACAGAGGCCAACAGGTGATGTTGAGAGACAGTCGATAAGGAAAATCAGCTTCAGGCAGGAGACTAGGGTTGGGGACAGAGCACCTGGCCCTCAGTTAGGCTAAGGCCAAAAGTTCTGGTGCAAATGACTCTGTAGGTCAGAGGTCAAAGGGCCACCAGCCACCCTTCCCCTGTAACTCCCAGAGCATCACTCCTCAGCCTGTGCAGGGCCCAAATGCCCTGGCACTTCCCCCCCCCACACACACACCCAATAAAAATGCAGGTGTGGCACTGCCCGGCAGTGACCTCTGACCCCTCAGGCCAGCTAGTTAGCAGAATGAGCACAGGAGCCCACAAGAGTTTGAAGGGAGAGTAGTCAGCTGATCCAGTGCCAGCCCAGGCTAGCCCAGACTTAGTTCACACTAGTCCAGGAGCCCCACTCTAAGAAGGCATGGCTAGGGGACCCCACAGATACACTGGCAGGGAGATGCCTCTGTGGCTTGACCAGAGTACCAGCTGTGGCCCAAGTGGCCTGGCCCTTCACAACCCACCACCACCCACATCAGGGCCCACCCGTCATGAGCCGGCTATTCCTGACCACAGGCAGGGAGCTCTGCAGGACCCAGCTGCGGAGGGGAGACTGTTAATGCAAGCAGGAGGGGTGCTCAAGCCGCACCAGGAGGACCCGCAGGGCCATCCCATGGCTGCCACCTGGGCCAGCAAGAAGGAGGCGGCCACTCACTTACAGACTGCATGCGGGCCGGCCGAGGAGGACAAAAAGACCATGCGGGGTGGGGGCAGGTCAAAACAGAACAGAGGAGAACAATGAGTGCCAGAGCCCACCAGCAATAGGTACCATTGTCACTCATGGCCAGCCACAATCTCCACAGCCCAGCCAGGAGACGTGGCTGGGACCACACAGGGAGCAGGCACATGAACCACAGCCTCAGGAAGTCACAGGAAGTGAGGGGGCACACATGTGCTGACACGTGCACACAGGGCACGCCTGCCTCCCCCCCACCGTGCCCAGGCCACACCTGCGCCTTACCTTCCTTCACAGAGATGGTGGGTTTCTTCTGCCGCAGCCCCAGCAGGATGAAGAAGAGGACGAGCGGGATGAAGATCTCGAAGGCCAGGACCCACTGGAAAGGGTAGACCAAGTGACCACCGTCTGCCCGGGCTGGACATGATGCTCATGTGCTGATCTAAGCCCTCCCAACCTCTCTGAAGGCCCAGTCCAGCCGGGCTGGGACCACATCCTCACAGGGGCCATGGAGGGTCAGCACAGGCTCTTCAGGTCCAGCTAAGGCTTCAGCCCCTCCCAGGGCACCAAGAGGGTGAGCACTAGCTGGCATCACCAAATCAAGTCTTCTGACCCCCAGCTTAGATTCTGCAGGCCATACCAGGGACCACCTGCCCTTTGAGGAGACTCAGGGCAAGAAGGGACAAAGCATCTAGCTGGTGGTCCACTCTGACTCATGGACCTGCCCAGCAACTCTTCTTCCCCACCTGCTGGGCTGCGTGGGCCAGATCTCAGAGGCCATCTGAGCCATGCATGGTCTCTGCCCACCCACAGCTCCCATACTCCTCCAGGCCCACCCTCTTCCCCACTGCTACGGCGTCCTTGCACCCCCCTACTATACTCAAGGGCCTGGGTCTGGTGAGAGGCAGGTCTGACTGCCCTGGCCTTGCCTGAACAACTTCTGTCACTCAGGGCTTGGCTGCAAGGTAAGCCCTGTGTGGCCTGGTTTGACTGAGAAAGAATTCTGGAGACCCCAGGGCCCATACTCCCCTCACAGTTTTGCCTGGAAATTGAAGGGCTACACCAGTTTCTGCTCCCACCCACCCCAGCTCTGGGAGGCGGTGGAAGACCAGGTGGTCTGTGGGGGTACCCCATATAAACCAGCCCTCTGAGACCACAGGACAGCCAGCTAACCCTCCCCCACCCTAGGGCAGCTCCCCTCCATGTCCGTGAGATACCAGGTCTCCTTCATCCTCGGCCCCACCCCAAAGATGACTTGGGGGGGCGGGGGGGGGCCTAGCACTGCTGTGGAGCCAGGCCCAGCCCGGCCCTGGCTGTGCCTGCTGTGCTCTGACAATAGTGCTCTGTGATCTGGAACACCATGCTGTGTGTCCACACCCCACGCCTGCTCCAGTCAGTGCCAGCCTCCACCCCCTCCCCAGCCAGGATTGAGTCCAGGGCTGGTAGAGGAGGCTCCATGTGTACTGAGGGTGGTAGGATAGGCTCCTACTGTACACAGAGGGCAAAGGTGGCTAGAGACAGGGGTCAGGCCCAGGAACCGCCCTGCCCACGCCCGCTCTGCCACCGGGCACCTCCGCCCCTGTGACTGCAGCACAGGCCAAGCTGCCTCCCCCGTTGCTATAGCAACGGCCGCGCACGAGCTGCTGGGAGGAGGAGCGTCCTGGCTGGCGGACGCCACAGGGGCATCTGGTTACAGGCAGGCAGCACAGGTCCAGCACCACCTGGGTGACAGCAGGTGGCCAAAACTCTGTCTTGCAAGACCAGCTCGGTGCCTCCATGTTGTCTGAGAGCCTGGATGCCCACCCTGGGCCTGAGCCCCCTCTTCCTGCAGCCCCACATCTGCTGTGTCAAGGGGAGAATATGTGTGACACAAGGGTGACATTGTGGCCTTCCACTCCAGCTACTCAGGGGCAAGGTGCCCATTCCTCCACCAAGGGCAGATTGTGGCTCCAGGGTAGAACCACATCCAGCTACCTGGGAGGGGGCATGCCACACTCACAGAGAGGGAAACTGAGGCATAGCAGTGTGGGAAGGAAAGGAAGCATGAAGGGCAGAGGTCCTGGGTCCCCCTCTAGACTCTGAGTGTTGCATAGGGGACATCTTGACTCCAGCATGGCACATGGAATGCAGGGCAAAGCCTCTGCCCCCTCCAGGCATGACCCCAGGAGTCCAGCTCAGAAGCTCATGACCCTTCATGGGAAAGCAGCCATAGGAGTGTGCCTAGTGTCCAGCCAGCTCCAGCCTCACATCTGAGCCCAGCAAGGACTTAGCCTTCCTGTAGGAAGAAATGCACTTGCAGTGGCCACAGGCTGAGGACCTCCACTGTGGCCTCACCGGCCTCTGGGAGCATCATGGGTTGGGGGACTGGAAAGATCCTCCAGGGCAGTCTAGAAGATGGAGGCCAGTCATCCCACACACACGCACAAGCCTCTGTTCCCAAGCCCTGGAGGCCTTCCTGACAAACACCCTGGGCTAATGCTAACGCATGACTACATTCCCCCCTCCTCCTTCCCTCTGCCTCCAGTGGTTCAATAGCTAGAGCTGCAGGTCTGATCTTTGAGACCCCACACCAGCCAGCCCCAGGCGCTCTGGGAAGGAAAGTACACCTAACTCTGGCTCCCTGCCATGGCCAGGTGCCCAGGGGAATCCTGCCAGGCCATGGTGATGCTCACCACCTCACCCTGCCTGCAGCCCAGGGTTTCCCACTGTGCACTTGAAACCCTGAAGGAGGAAAACTGACAGGAGCATGTGCCACCCAAGGGCCTAGGATGGGCAGAAGGGTGCCTCCTCAGGCCCCTTCCATGGAAAAATCCCAAGGGCCGTCCGAAATCCAAGCTGATGGAGGTCTTTCTGACCAGTGTGCTGTTCTTGTCCTCCAGGGCCAGAGCAGGGAGGACCAGCAGAGGGCCAGCTTGACATTCAAACACCCCCAGCCCCTCTCCTCACCAAGGGCTCCTGCCCAGGACAGTCCTGTGTCCTGGCTGCCCTATGCCCAGCTAAACAGGGCAGGACCCGGACCCTAGAGAGGCCTGGGGTGGGAGATCCAGTGGATCAGCCTTAGGGAGAACTGGCCCCAAAGGACAAATGGGTGCCGGGACTTGGCTGGCAGAGCCTGGCACTAACAAGGACATTACTGGAGTTGAGAAAGCAGGAGTGAGGGTTGTGGACGTGCCAGGAGGGGTGCAGAGAAGAGAAGGAAGAGGAGAACTACGACGACTACAGCTGTCTGGGACCAGCCTCGCCTCAGGCGCCTGCCCAAGGGCAAAGGGCGGTGAAAGGAGGAAAGGGACAGTTCACTGCAGGGGCTCCAAGAGCTCCAATAAGCCGGATGGAGTGGCCCAGCCAGCGCTCTTTCCTAGGAACCAGGGCCTCCCCAGAGCCGGGAGTCCTGCGGCCACCTGCCTCCCACCCCAGCCGGCCGGAGAGCGCTGCGGAGGGCGCCCGCCAGTGACTCAGCCCGGCGCCGCGAGTGTCAGCAGCCGATGCCACTGCGCCCGCAGGGGCAGCGGGCCGGGCGAGGGGTCTCCGGCCGCGGCCGCCCGGGGTCTGCGCGCGCCTGGCCGCCGCACGTGCGCGCGGGGGACGCACCGCTGACACTCGCGGGCGCGCGGCCTGCGGCTCCGGGCGAGCCGGCGGACGGGCGGTGGGCGCGGGTCGCTCACCGGGCTCCGGCGCTTCAGCGTCACGTTCTTCCAGAGCAGCAGCTGCAGCTGGTGCAGGAAGCCCATGGCGGGCCCGCGCTCCGCCGCCTCAGCGCCGCGGCCCGCTCCTCTGCGCGCCCCGCCGGGTCCCGCCGCCCGCCGCGCCGCTCGGCATCGCCCGCGCGGGGGCGGGGCGCTCGTCGGGCGTCGGGGACCGGCTCCGCGCTGGCTCCGCCCCGGCGGCCGCGGCGACAGCGACTCGCGCCCGCGCCCCGCCCGCGCCCGCCGCCCCGCTTAAAGGCGCCGCGCTGCGCCCGCGCCCGCGCCCGCCGGGGGCGCCCCAGCCCGCCGCGCCCAGGTCCGCCCGCACCTGCGCGGTGGCCGACTGCTCCCGCTGTTGATGCGACTGTGCCCAAGGGTCGTCGGATCCCGCGTCTAAACCCGCACCTCTGCTCACCCCTGAGGGGCTGAGGGAACTTGAGCGCCGCGTGCTCCTCCCGGGGGCTCCAGATCTGCGCGCTCTCCTGCTGGGAGACGCCCCACGGAGGCTCCCCAAGGTGGCCACTGTCCCCGGGGCGTCCCGAGAGGAGGCTAGGCCCCAACCAGGTCTCCGTTCTAACCGTCCTCCTCGCATAGCAGGAGCCCTAGGTGGGCAGGATGTGCGATCTGCTGCCCACACCGAGGACCACACACCTGGACCGCTGTCCTTTAACAGGGGCCTGCCGAGAGGGGTTGCCACGGTGACCCACCCCATAAGGGTTTCCTGTGTTCCTAGGGAACGAACCACTTGGTGACTAAGCTACAATGATTAGCCTGTTAAGATGGGGTGCACAGGTGCACAGGGGCACACCAGGGAGGTCAGAGTGCAGGGTGGGAGGCACTGCAGGTCAACGCCTTTGTTTGACCCAAGATGTTATCCAAACAAGTTTCCTCCGGGGTTTTTTTGTTTGGGTTTTGGTTTTGCAGTATTGGGGATTGAACCCAACACTTGAGCTGGCCCTGGGAGGTTTTTGTTTTTGTTTTGGAGGAACTGGGATTTGAATTCAGGGCCTCGCGTTTTCCAAGCAGACTCTCTCCCTTCCAAGGCATACTCCCAGCCCTTTTTTGATTTACTTATTTTTTAGGTAAGGTCCCGTGTTTTTGCCTCAGACCAAGCATGTACTTGGTAGGTGCATACTACCACATTTAGCTTATTTGTAGAGATTGGTGGGGGGGGGGTCTCACTAACTTTTTGTCCAGTTTGGTCTTGAGCCGTGATCCTCCCAGTCTCTGCCTCCTGAGTAACTGGTATTACAGGTATAAGCCACTGAGCCTAGCCTACAAAAGGGGTTTTAACTAGTGATTTTAAAGCAAGCAGGCTGGAGTTGTGAGGGGTCACACTGCAACTCAAATATGGTCACTTCAGCCTATCTGCAGTCCATGCAGAGTGTGGGGTCAGCAGGCTGTATGTAGGTGACCCTTAGGGAGATGGTCACCAGGCAAAAGTAGCTGGGTCGACCACATGAAGAACTGGAAAGTAGAACTAGAAACTGCCAAGGGTGACAGAGCCCCGGTTCTGGTCAGAGTAAGTTAAACTTACATTCAGAATGTGTACCAGGGATGGACGTGTGGCTCAAGTGGTAGAGTGCCTGCCTAGCGAGCGTGAAGCCCTGAGTTCAAACCCCAGTACCAGCACATTAAAAACCAACCAACCAACAACCAGAATGTATGCCAAGGCATCATAAGCTGTACAAACCATGCAGTCATCCACTGTGGCTAGCAGGAGGGACCAGTTGCTCTGCCCAGGCTGCTGTGCTCCAGACACAAAGGAATCCAAGAACTGCTTCCTGCCAGCCTGGATGCTTGGGGAGACAAGCTGCCCCTTTTATGCATGGCCCATTTGTCTTCACGTCCAGGATGATTCTGGCATCTGCACATGGAGCCTAGGGTCCACTCAGACCTGCAGAGGTTGGGCACCTCCTCATGCCAGGCCCAAGCTGGGACAGGCAATTCCTGGCCTAAAGTTGAGTGATTGTTGTTGCAGGGCGGATTCCTCATTATTGACCAGCAGAGGGCAACAGAGGCCGCTAGCCCTGACATTGGGCGCACTGAAAGTTTTTTTTTTCCTTTGGCTATACTGAGGTTTGAATTCAGGGTTTCACACTTGCTAGGCAGGTGTTCGACCACTTGAACCAGTCCTCCAGCCCTCTGATAGCCGCTTACCAGCTTGAGTTTCTCACCTGTGAATGGGAGGGAGGGGGAAGGCTGTGTGTATCCAGCCCGGTTGTACAAAGAGAATGTCCCTAAAGTGAATGACAGCCCCTGATGGGCTGCAACTTCCCACTCCCACCCAGCTCCTTCTTTGAGGAGGAGGGATGACCCTCCACAGGTGGGTGAGGACCCACACCCATACCCAACCCTTAGCCTCAGGACTCTTCTTTCTCCTCTGTTAGCCCTTGGGGCTGGGTCAGGGCAGGAAGCCACTGGCAGTCCTTTCCCACAAGCCGTCAGGGGAAGGGGGGCTTCCTGCCTGCTCCGCCACCCCACCCCTCCTGCAGGGATAAGACGTGCCCCCACCACCCCAGGAGCTTGGCCTCTGGGGCCCCGGTCGCCCATCCACCCACAGGCTTGCCACTGCCACCCCTTACCACACCAAGCCCTCTGGCTGCAGAGGGTCCTTGAGGTTTACCTCCCTCGTTGCCCATGCTGCCACTGACCACTAGAGGGACAACAGATCACAAATCAGGCCCTGTCACACCAGAGGCTCCTCCAACCAGGAGATGAGGCACCTCTGATCCCCCACCTGGGCTGACCTCCCTTTCCCACCTCTCTACCCACTTTGACCTCTGGGGTCAGGGAAATAAGTGACCCCTGGTAAGGTACCACTTAGCAAGGCTGTCGGTCAGAGGAAGGGCAAAGACCCTGAGGCCAAGCAGGCAGAATGGGGTCAGAATCAAGGAACCTGATGGCTAAAAGGGATAGAACAAGGAGGGCTGACAAGTGGGGCTCTGCTGCCTTGCATGAATTTGATCCAGGAGATTCCAGTTTGTGTCTTTATTGTTAGATGTCTCCCTCCCTGAGCAAACTGTGCCTGCAGGAAGCTCAGAAGCAAGCTGGGAGCCAGCAGCTCCTGCCTGTAATTCTAGCTACTTAGGAGGCAGAAATCAGGAGGATCATGGTTCAAAGCCAGGCTGGGGGGGCGGGGGGAATACCCTAATTCAAAAATACCCAACACGAAAAGAGGCTGGTGGAGTGGCTCAAGTGATAGCAGAGCGCCTGCCTAGCAAGCATAATATCCTGAGTTCAAATTCAAATCCCAGTGCAGAGAAAAGAAAAGAAAGCCCAGAAACATCCAGTTCATTACTCACAGCCTTCCTGGCTCAGTGCGGGTCTGCACATAGGGTTCAGAACTGCAGAAAGAGCAGGGCCAGGCACCTGCATCTCTAGGGCCTGGGCACTTAGGTTATGGCGGTTCAGAGGGCTAAGGTTTGGTCCCCACAAAACACTGGGATGTCCCCAGATCTGAGGACACTGCCTCCATTCTCTTCCAGCTGAGCCTTGATTCACCCGGGATGCTCAAGGTGGAAGGAGGAATCTGTAGCCACTTTTCCTCTTTCATTAACCTGAGCAACATGCACCACTAACTTCTTCCTGCTCCTGCTTCCTCCCCCAAATCCCTGCTCTAAAGCCCACCAGCCTCCTCCTACAGACTGTCTCCCCCATCCCACCCTGCTCCTCCCTCATCCTTGCTTCCTGGTCTCTGACCCCAGTCTCCGGTTGGCCCCATGTGGCTTGTTGGGGACGGATGCCTGGTGGTTTGATTTCAACATCCAGCCCTTCCACCCACACAGCTTCACACAACAGAGGGAGGCTCAAGCCCGGAACCAGCCTTCAAGGTCTTCATAGACCTGGCTTCGGGGCAGGTAGGGGAAGTGGGCACAGATGGTGCAGAATCGCTCCCGCCAGTCACCAAGCAGCTTCACACGGAGCCTGTCACGCCAGGCAAAAAAGCGACGATAGCGGCTCTCGTTCATGCCAGCAAGGAACGCGGCCAGCTCGCGGGCTGAACTGAAGTCATCCACGTGCACAAAGGCATCAGGAGGTGCAAAGGCCTCGTAGGTAGCCCGTGGGGGTCCCAGCACTATGGGCACAGCCCCAGCTGCCAGTGCATTGCGCCAGAACTTCTCAGTGATATAGTCTCGGTGCTGTGAGTTCTCGAAGGCCAGGTAAAAACGGTACCGGGCTATAGTGGGTAGCAGACAGTTGGCGCACAGTGGCCTCTGGTTGGCACGTCCGAACACATCCACCTGCAGGTGAGGTGCCAGCTGCTGGTACACCCTTGCACGCTTCTGCCGCTCCTGGAAATTGCTGACCACCCAGACAGCCATCCTGCTCTTGGCAGGCAGTGGAGGCGTGGGCCCTGAGTGAGGCTCCAGACGGCCATAGGGCACAAAGATGTCTGAGTCACGCCGGTAGCTCAGCACCCAGTTGAAGATGCCTCGAAGGCGGCTGAGTCCATGGGTGTTGCTGGGTGACTCCATAGAGGCCCAGACCCAGGGCTGCCCATGTGGCCGCTGGTCCAGGGGCAGGCAGGACTGCCGGGTCTCCAGCTCACGGTGGTGGAAGACCACAGCATCAGCACTGGCCAGCAGACTTTGGTTAGTGCTCAGACGGCAGTGGGCCACACCATAGCGGGTGCAGGTGTCAGCAGCCAGCTCTGGGGGCTGGTCAGTGAAGGGCCAGTGCCAGATAAGGATGGTGATTGTGGGCTGGGGTGCTGGGGTTCCCCTAGGAGCTGATCCCAGAAGCCACAGGAGCCAGAGTGTCACGAGCATGGCTCCCCCAGTGAGGCCCCCCCAGGCCCGCAGCCTTTGGGTAGGACTGCACCCTGCAACAAGATGAGAGGGAAGAGGCTTTGTCACTATAGGCTCAGGGACACCACCGTTCCCTACTCTCCACCACCCCCATCCTCCCTAACCCAGACAACCCCGAGGGCCAGGCACTCACCGGTATTATTCATCCACAGCCTGTTGAAATCAGTCACCCAGGAAACCTGAAGTTCTTAAATCACTGCAAGCTCCCTGACAGAGGTGCCCTGAAATCACAGCTACTCCCCAACTCAGCCCCTGCCTAGAAGCACTCTCTTTTCATCTGCTCAAGGTGAGGGAAACCAAGGGCCTTCCTACTCCCGCCCTGTCCCTGCCCCTGTGGCCTTTGGCACCAACCACCATCACCACCCCCACTCTGACTACTGGGAGTGAGGATGGTTACAGGAAGAGGGCTAAACCAAGGCCCCCTGCCCGCCCCTGCTGATCTCCAGAGAGGCCCAGGGATGACTAGCTGGGCATACAGAGAGGAAGAAGGGGGCTCGCTTGACCCCAGGGAAGGGAAGGCCACCCATGTGAGCACCCTGAGCAAAGATGGCCCCCTCCCCAGATGGGCCCCTCTAGCCACCACCCACCACACAGCTCCAGGGCACCCTGATTGAGCAGGTGCACTTCTCTAGAAGGCTGTGAAGGCCCCTCCCTGTGGCATCACCCACTTCCCTCACTCATCCGCTGGGCTGGCCCTGGCCTCCCAGACCCTTGGGTGTCATGGTTGTGCTGTGCTCAGCTCTTTGTAGGAGGCTGAGGTTTCTTGTTGGGCCAACCAGCCCCACCTACCTCTGTCACCTCTAGAAATGACCCTGTCCCCCAGTATCCAGATTCCCAGAGAGAGGGGTTTATACTGGGGTCCTAGGAGATCCCAACACATGCCTGCCAGGGACAGACCCAGGTTTTCATGACTGGGGGAGTGCCATGTCTTTCCTTGCCCTGGGACATGTGCCCATGGTAGCCCTAGTCTATAGGCTGGGCCCAGTGTCCCGGGTGGACTGAGAAGAAGAGCAGGTCACTCACTTCCTCCTTGCTTCTCCAGGAGGGGGCTTTCCAGGCTGGAAAGGGAAGGAGTCGTTGTGTCCCTGGCGGGCAGGGGGCTGGCACCCGCTCCAGAAACAGGAAGGCTGGCCCCAGCCTGAGATCTAGGCTTCCTCCTTCTTCCAGCCAGCCTTGGTGGCTCAGCATAGGCCTCAAGGTCAGGTTCCTTTCCCTTTACCAACTAATCTGAACTGGAGATGCGGCAAGCCAGCGCAGGCCAGGCTGGCGTGGCTATGCAGGGCTCCAGGCAAATCCCATTCTCACCCAAAATGATGTACCATCAGCTTCCTTGTCCCAACAGACCTCCTACTCTGCTGCCCAGGACCATATGTAGTCCCAGCCAGGGCCTTGTAAGCCCCAGACCGGGATTCCTGGAAGAAAAAGGACGTGTTGGCCAGGTCTGCTGCCTTGGCACCATCCTCAGGGTTGCCTCCCACCTACCCACATCTCACCCAGCCATGTCTTGTGTCACGCCTGACCCCCAGGCCTGCTGGCTTCCCCCATATTATGTGAAGCTGAGGCTGCTGTGGGGTTGGGAACCAGGCAGATGGCAACAGACCCACAGTGAGGGAAGATGCAAGTGCAGAAGGGTGTCTGTTTGGCCCCTCACAGCCACACCCCTCCCCCCCACCCTGTGGCCTAGCATAACCTCTAGGTTGCGGTGGAGAGCTTGTGCAATGTGTAAGTGGGGTGGGGGAGCCATAGGAACCATCAGAAACCGTCCAGCCGGCCTGAGGTGCTTCGCTCCCCAAAGGCTGGCTCAGAGCAGGCAGCTGTGCCAGCCCCACCCTTCCAGCCACCCAGTGTTTAGGGAGATGAGCAAGGTGGCATCTGCACTTTGGGCCCCTATTCCTGGCATCTGCTCCCCACCCCCCGCCTCCCCACAGGGCAACCCCAGGGGAGCCACACCCTGGCCTCAGGCCTCACTTCACCCCACCCCACCTCTTCTCCCTGTGGAGGGCACCCAGAGGGTGGTGGGGGACTGCAGGAAGGAGGCCATCCTGCCAGCCTGGGGCCACCAGCTTCTGGCTGCCAGAACCTGCTGCCCTTCCTGTTTGTACTGGCTGGGGCCCCTGCCACCACCTCCCCACACCCACAGCCTGCTCCCTTTCTGGGTGGATTTAAAGGACCCTTCCCCCCACCCAGTTCTGTCAGGCTGCTCCCACACACACATGCCAGCTTAGGTTGGCAGCCGTGGGGGCCCTTGATTGTGAGAACCTGCTGTCTGCAAAATGGGCTTGATGGTTGGCTCAGAGATGGGTCAGAACGAAAGAGGGAAAAAAAGAGGGGTTGAGAGAGCATGAATCAAAAGGAAATTACGGGGGGCACTCCACCTGCCACCTCACCCCCAGCTCCTGAGGCATCCTGACTCACTGGGCACCCAACCCCAGCTCAGCACCCTGGAGTGGCAGCATTGGGATCCTGCACTCAGCCCAGCCTGCCCTCCTACCTACTCCAAGAATGCCAGCTGAAGAGGCCTCAACCCCATGGACCCTGCTCCAGACTGAGGGCAGGCCAGTGGTTGGCGGACTGCTGTCCCCTGCAGACAACAGCACCTGGCAGCAGGAGGGTAAGGGACATGCAGCCCCAGTCTGAGGGCACCTCAGGGAGCCAGACTGAACCTGGCTGCCTGCATCCTCCCATCCCCCCAAGACTGGTCTAAGCAGGGCAGAGTCCAGATGTGTGCTCTGAGAGCCCCCTGGCGGCTGTGCTGCAAAGCCACTTGCTCCCACCAGGGGAGAATGCCTGCACACAGTTAGGGTGAGAGGTGGGGTTAGGGTTTTGGGGCTGGAGGCTCTGGGAATCATATGGAATCACCTTTGGGAAGGTGGGTGCATAAAGAAAATGAGGACTTGTAGGCTGCAGGTGGCAAATCAAACCCCCAGATTTAGAGCACAACCTAGGGGTCAGCACAAAGGTGGTACAGGGAGCCAGTTGGCCTGGGCAGCAAGAGGTCAGCCTAAGGGCATGGGAGAGGTGTGGCAGATCCAACCCTTCCCCTCCCACTCTTTTCCATCAAGCCCAGGTCGGGGGAGCACATCCTGTCCTCATCCAGGTACAGCTTGGGCCAGCTCCAGGATCTGCAGGGGGCTTGTTCTCTAGGGGCCTGTGCACCGCACCCCAAGTTTTGCATGTCCTTTTCCATTTTGCACCAAGACATGCATCATTATGCTGCACAGCTGGCAGAGGCTGGGACACCCAGAATCTGGGGCTGGCCCACCCAGGCTGGCAAGGGCTGGGTCTGAGATGCAGAAGAACGTCACCTCCCAGAAGCTAAAGCAGGGAGGCCCTGTCTCTTAGGGTCTTGACTGGGTGATCACAGCACCTCACATTGTGTCATGCATGGCCTTGCCCCACAGCCTTGTTGGGTGGGGGGGAAATCTCCAAACGGATGGGTGTTATCTCAAAGGTATGCTGGGTGGGTGGTTGTTGCCCTCTAGCACCTGTCCCCAGAGAGGCACCGGGCATATTCCGCTAAGGCGCTGAAGCACATACCCATCTCATTGAGCTCTCTAGTGAGAAGCAGGTGGGGAAGGGACGGGGCTGAGTAAGGCTCTGGTGGGCTCAGAACTCAGGCAGCTCGACCAGAGAGCTGAGGTGAGATCAGCCTCTTGTTGGTGCCAGGCAAGGTGCCCCTTAGCAGGGACCGAGGCAGGGACAGGACAGCAGTCAGGGATACTAGTGGAAGGAAAGAGGACAGTGTGGCACTGGGAAAGGCCATGCTAGGCTCCTCACCCAGGATTGGGGTCGCCAGAGCCCCTGAAGACTCCAGAGCAGCCCATGTGCCCCATGGTTTATGGGAGGAAGGGTGACTAATCACAGTTGTATGGTAGGAGTTTGCACAGGGATCAAGTGGCTCTTGAACTGGCCTTGGGCAGAAACAAGCCAAAAACAGTTGGAGAGCGGTGCTGTGCTGTCCGGATAATGGGCTAAGACAGTCCCTGCCCACCCTTGCCCAGACCAAGCCCTCATTACAGCAGCCACTGACAGAGAGACACTCCTCACCAAGGCATCAAAGCAGGCAGCTCTAGGGATCCCCAGAAGGTTGAGAAAATGGGACACAGCGCGTGGCTGATCTTTGTCAGGCCAGGAGGGGTGGTAAGTGTTGTGACCCCCAGGACTGACCTGAACTCAGGGGAGCCCCTACCCCTGGCTCCACCAGCTAAACAGATGGGCTGAGTGCCAGGCCACCCTCTGCCCTGGAGTGAGACTCATCTCCCTACACTTCAGTTTCTCTGTGGTCATCTATGCTGATGGCACAGATACGTGTCAGGGGACACACATGTGCCATGCTTAGTGCTCAGCTCTGTCCCTGTCCCATCCCCCACACCAGTGCCCAGAGGAAAATAGGCTTACACTGAGGGCCAGCCCCAGGTCGCAGCTGAAGAGTGAGGGGTGAAGATAAAGAGTCTTGGGGACTCTGGTCCCCAAAACATACGACTTGGGGCAAACCAGTAGCTTTGAGCAGGGTCGAGCCCATTTCCACTGGCTACCCCACCCGTTCTTTAGGGCCATGCTAGTCACCAACCAGCCTTGTCTTCTCTACTGCAGGGCTGTAGAGATGCTTTTGACCATGATGGGTCTCCCTCCCTGGCCTCAGCAGGTCAGACAGGTCTGGCTCCTGCAGCCTAGTGTTGTGCCAGCCCAATTTGGGCACTTTTTTGACCACAGTGTTGCCGCCCTGCCCCTCTTTGTTCCTTCTATGGGGAAGTAGCAGGCCAAAACCCAGCTGTAGGTATTGACAGCCCCCTACCATCTAACTCCCTCACAGTGTGTAGACTGGGTCCCTCAAGAATCTCCTGCCTGGCATGGCTCCCATACACACTGCAGGGACCCGGGTGTCCGGGCAGTCCCCGTAAGAGACGCACAACGCCCGCATTCTGCAGTTCTGCCCCAGGTGGACAGCAAGCAGGAATGGATGTGCTGGGTGTCCACAACCAGATGGGTGGAGACTGCCCCTCTCCCAACCCTTTCTATCATGCTACACTGGGTCTTCAGGGAACCAGAGCCTCGCTGATTGCCTAGCCCTGCAGTGTGCCCCTACCCTCTCCCACTCTGGGGCAGAAACGTGAGGAGGGGTGGGGCCCCACAGAGGAGGGGAGGAGAGGGTAGTTCTGTGTCTGCCTCTTCTCCAGCCTCTGTGAGGGCTTTCCAATATCCCACAGAGATTTCCCTCTCTCAGGATACAGAAACCCAAGCCCCACCCTCTGAGTCCACCTACCAGAGTCCCAGGGGGAGGCGAGTGGCTGTGGATTAACCAACACCTTCAACGTACTCAGAGCACAGATTTGAAACAGACTTTAATTGGCTTGTCTCCAGAACTCCCATCCATGCCTGGGCTCTAGGGCTCCCCCACTCTCTGCAGTGTGAGGGCTCAGGCAGGCCAAGGAATGTGCAAGAAGGACGCTAGGTCTCCAGGCACCAGGCGGGGAATCTCCTTGCAAGGGGCAGCGGGGACCAATGTCTCTCCCCAGCCCCAATCACAATGTGTTCTTTATAATAGGAAACGCCAGGCCTTGCCCTTCCCCACCCGTGGGCTGGGGTGGCAAGTCAGTGGTCACTGCAGCGAGGGTGGCGAGCATGGGCCCTGCGGGGGTGCCGACAGCGAGGAGTGGTCGAACAGGGGGTTGCGCACCTCCATCTCCCCTGTCTGTGAAGAAGGCACTAGCTCAGGCCCAGGGGAGGGGGCGGGGATGACCCCACCCCCGCTATGAGGAGACGCTTTTGATGAGGGACCTCCCCAAGGGCCCCCAAGCTCACAAACTCCTCCGCGTGCCCCAAGGCACTCACCGGGGCCAGGCCCGGGCACTCATACACCGTGAAGTCGCCGTCTTCATTCTCTTCGTCCGAAGAGACCGAGTCCAGCTCCTTGGGAGGCTCCTTATGCCTGAGTGGGGGTGGAATCGCTGGGTCCTCTGCGCACCCTCCAGGGGCCAGTAGCCCAAACCAGAGGCGGGCACTTAACGTACCGCTGCCCGGATTGGGACTGGGGATGGGGACGGAGGGACCCAGAGCTGGAGGCTGCGGGCAGCTTCGGGCTGGGGCGGCGGGCTGAGGGTGGAGGCGGATGGGGCAGGGGTTGGTTAGGGGACTACAGGCCGGTAGGACAGGAGGATAGGGGCGGCAGACCCAGCCCGAGTCAGCTGGCTGAGTCCGGGGTGGGGGCGCTCACCGCTCCAGGCACAGCATCTGCTGCCTCTGGTGCTGGTAGTGGTACATCTCCGCGCTGTGCGCCAGCCGCTGGTCCCCGGGCTGTGGGTGGAGAGGGAAGGGTCAAGCGTGGGCGAGGGCGCACGGCCGGAGGCGTGGCCAGGGGCCGGGGCGGGGCCACGCACCGAGATCCGGGGCGTCGCGGGTGAGCCCGGCGCCTTCGCCGTGGAGTAGTCGGCCTTCTGGGTCAAGCGGATCTCACGCTGCAGCCTGCGGGACGTGGAGCTGAGACCCCTGCGCCGGGCTGCCGGCCCTGCCCGCCAGCCCACACCCCTGGCCTCCGCCCACGGCCGCCGGCTCACCTGCACCAGCACAGCGTTGCCACGGCGAAGGCGGCTGCGCCCGCCACGCAGAACGCCACGATCAGCACTGCGGGAGGGGCGCGGTGAGGGGCGGCCTCCCGGCGGGACCCTGCCTCCCCCGCCCGCCGCCGGCCGCGACCTACCGAGGGCAAGGCCGTCGCCGCGCCCGCCCCGGGGCTCCAGGGGGGACATGTGCACTGGCCCAGAAGACACAGGGGAGCCCAAGGAGGTGCGGGGTGTGGGCAGAGAGGCTCCCCGAGCGGAGGGGAGGCCCGGCTCGGGTCCTTGACCCCGCTCTGAGAACCCTAGGGTAGCTGCTGAAAGAGAGGGCAGATTAAATCAGCAGGACCAGGCTGCGGTCACTGATGGCAAGGGTGGGGGGCCAAGGCAATGGGGCAGGGTTCTCACCAGGCTCTAGAAGCAGCCGTCCAGCCTCAGGCAGGGGTCTGACTGTGAGCCTGGAGTGCCCAGCCTCCTTGAGGGCCAGTTCCTGGGCCAGGAAGTCGATCTCATCTTCCAGTCTGGGCTGCGGCAGGCTCTCCCCTGGGGAGCGGGAAGGGTCATCAGGTAGAGAAAACCCAGCCCCTCAGTCAACACTTGCCAAAGGTGACCACAGCCGCCCAGATGTAGGAGCCTGGGCCTCCCTTCGGGGGCCCTTCTCCTCTGGTTACCATGGTGACAACAGAGGGAGCTTCCTGAGAGCAGCGGGGTTCCCAGGAAAAGTGTGTGTGTTGGGGGGGGAGGTGCTAGGGGAATGCGCAGAGACCAGGCAGGAGGAGAAAGTACTGGGGTCCGTTACCCTAGCTGTTGTCTGCTCTCCCACCTACAAGCACCTCCTCTGGTCACAGGGGAGGCAGTCACTCCCCAAGAGTGAAGAAAAGCCGAAGTAAGCCCAAATGTCCAGGCTAACCCCCAGGTGGTCAGAGGGGAGTGCAGTTGTGGGAGCGGACTGATGGCTTGACACCCACTGTTTCCTACAGTGCATCTCATAGTCCAGACAGAAGTTCCCAGATGGGCACCCACTCAGAACCCCAAAAGAGCAGACAGATGGCACCCCTTCTGCAGTAGGCCTGCTTACCACTTCTCAGCGCACCCTGTTAGTCACACCCCCCAACCCTTCTCAGTAAAGCCTGAATCACACCTGAAGGCATTCAGTGACTAGCCATCCCACAGACTCCAGGATGGTGACCACTAGCACAGGGCTGAGGCTTACAAACGTTGGTTAGGAAGAGAGCAGCAGTGCCTAGAGGAGCTTTCGCCAGATACTGTGGGGCCTAGGCCTGGGCACCCTGACCCCTCCCCTCCTGAGATCATCTCTTGCCTTGGGAGGGCCTCACAGCCTAGGCCTCAGCCCAGCTCCAGGCTCTTTTCTGTGCCATCTGAAAAGTATGAAGCATCTACTCCCAGAGTGACATAAGTCTTCCAGGCCTTGGACCTGAGCATCCCACAAAGCACAGAGGCCCTGGTGGCCACTGCCCCAGGGCTAGAGGCTCTTTTAGAGCCAAGTGTCAGGACATGGAGAGAGGCAGGGAGGAAGGGAGTTCATCTTGCCCAGGCACTTCCCTGGCCTCTGTGCCCTCGTACCAGGAGGCCGGCGCATCCTGGGCACACAGAGCCCCTGCTGATCCTCCTGGAAGGGCTGAAGGCAGGGCCCACAGGAATGTGCACCCGGGGGGCACCTTGCCCGCCTCTTCAGTGCACAGTCCAGGCTCCCAGGACAGGCAGCTGCATCTGGAAAGGAAGCAGAAGGGCAGGGCTGGTCATAGCCTGCTGGGCCTGGTCGTGCAGCAACAGCAGCATTGCCTAGCCACCCTTCCCCCACAGCTGGCCAGGCCTGGCTCCGGCCATTGTTCCTCCCTACTGCCAGGGCTCAGAACCAGGAAGCAAACAGTCCCAAGATTTATGGGAACTCCCCTGCTCCACCCACTCCCCAGAGTCCCCCTTCCAAGCTGCCTTCAATGGGAAACTGATTCTTAACTGTCCAGTTGGCTCTCTTGGGAGGGCTATGCAACCCTCCAAGGCTGGCTTCTGACCTCAGAGTGAGCTGGGACTCCCCATCCAGCTTGGGAGCTCCAGAAGGTGAGCCCAGGCCTCTCTCAGCTCAGGAGCAGCAAAGGACTATGGGTAACCACCTCTCCCAAACATCATGGCTTCCCCCAAAACTCTATCAACACAGTCCCACAGCTCTAGAATGGAATGTGGAAGACCACAGAACAAGTGTCCAGCTGGAAGACAGTTGTTGCCCCTGCCTAGCCTCTGGCTTTTCCCCAGGGCACAGAGAAGCCACTAGGGTTGGGCAGACCTAAGATGGAGCTGACTGGACCCAGAGACTCAGTGAGCAGTGCTGGGGAGCTCCAGGCTAGGCCCTAGTACCCAGTCACGCTTTCATCTCTCTGATGTGGGGCCTACACGATAGGTCTTGCTTATTATACATGGCTAGTCAGTCCCATCCTGAGGATGGGGGCAGTAACCTTCTCTGCCTCAGTTTCTCCTGTAGCATGCAGAAATTCAGTTGTTTCAGAGCTCAGGAATGTCCCACAGATAATCCTAGCCACAGCAAGCCATCAGAGCAAGGCGGGTACCCAGCAGGACCCATCCTGCTTGGTGGGTGCCTCTGGGCACCAGAATCCTTTCTGTCAGCCCAGCCCTCACCACACACTGCAGGCAGGGCTACTAGGGCCCAGGGGAATGTGGAGGACATGCCCTTCTCCAGACTCTGGATGGCCTGGCTTGGTTTCCTTGGTAACGTGACACTTCGTGCCTCTAGGCCAAAGGAATCCTTGCAAGAAAGTTCTAGCAGTCGCAGTGGCAGGCAGCCACAGGCTCCCGTGAGAGGCCCCCCTCCCACCCTCCATAGGCTGGATCAGCAGCCTCCCATACCAGTGGCCAGGGGTTTGGGCTAGTTAAACATTAAACCTATGCCAGGAGATTCACCTGGACCCCACCCACAAGCTGGGCATCAGGGAGCCAGCAACCTGGTACCGATAACCAAGTCAGGCCCAAGGTAGGACTCTGAAGCACAAGGCCGCTCTGGGCTCCAGGGCCCTCCCTACCCCTCCAATCCCCCAGCCCACTGGGGGTCAGCACAGTCCAGAAAAATGCGGCTGCTGCCCATTTAGTCTTGGGCAGGAACCCCCCCTCCAGCCCTGGGGTGGGGAAGGAGGGCCCAAGAGCAATGGCAGCTGGACAGTGGCTGGCACTCCACCCACATTTGGGGTACCTGCGCACCCTTCCCAGGCCCTGAGTGTGGGAGGATGCCAGGGAGGGGCTGTGCCAGGTCTCCCAGTGAGGCGGCCATGCAACTGCAGAGACTGAGGAACACGCGCTCAGGGAAGCCACTGTGGTCTCATTTCTTGAAGAGACCCCACCCCAGAAAAAAGGCTCTTAGCAGGTGGCCTCCACCACTCTAGCTAGCACTGCTCTGGGTCCCAGGCCAACCTCCTGTCCAGGGCCACTAGACCCATGAGGAAGCCTGCCTGGCTCTAGCCTCTTGAGGCCATGCACACAGAATGAGATTGCTCAGGTTAGCCTCCCAGTTGTGCCACATATCCATCATCTAACTTCTCTGTGCCTCAGTTTCCTCATCTGTAAGATGGGCTAAAAGCACCTCTCCTTCAGGGTGGCCAGAAGAACTGAGTGGACACAGGGGCACAATGTCCCACCTCAGCCCCCTGGGGAAGGTGTGTTCCGATACTGGGCTCGGATGCAGCAGACCCTTGCTGCCTGCAGCCGCAGAACCATCTGTGACCCTGGGCTCATCACTCTCCACTGAAATCTACAGAAAGGCCTTAGTCCAGAAGACCAGATGGCAGGTGCTCTCCAGATAGGGAATGAGGGTGACAGCCTGCCTCCGTTGAAGGTACAAGATCCTAGGCCCAGGACCCTCTCAGACCCCACTAGGGGAGGCAAAGCAATGCATGGGCTGGACCTCACCCGAAGCACGAGAATAGTGAGCCCAGCACTGCCGCCAACACAGGCCAGGCACAGGCAGCAAGGTCGGCAGGCAGCAGGGAGCAGTCCCGCACCTCTGGAGCCCTGGAGACAGACACACAGACACACACAACGTCCCCACGGCGGAGCACTCGGTGCGCGATCTCTGCGGACGCAGATTTAAGACCCCTTGAGACACAGATTGGACTGGCTGTCAGACCCAGAGACAAAAACAAAAAGCTCATGAAATTCAGGTTCGCCTCCGGAGACCCAGGAGAAGCACCATCCCCAGCCAAGCCTTTCAGTGGTCCTGGCCCCAGCCTGTTTAATCCATCACCGGTGAGGAGGGGCCGGCGCGGCCTTCAGCTGACCAGGCCTGCGTGGCCTGCGGGCCTGGGCGAGGCCAGGGCGGCGGCAGCGAGAGTGACGGCGGCACCGCGCAGCCCGAATCCCCGCCCCGCGATCCCGGCCCTAGGGCGCCCCGCTGCCTCCTCCCCAGCGCTCGCTCACCCGGGCGGCTGGCGGTGGCACCGTTCAGGGCCGCTCCGAGGACAAGGCCGGAGAGCAGCAGCCGCAGCAGCCGCAGGTGCCGTGGGGCTGGCGGAGGGACGGGCGTCGCCATCCTTCAGCGCCGCCGTCCGGGCAGCATGGCACCCCGTGGCCCCGGGCTCGGTACCGGCTCCGGGTGCCGCGACACAAGAAGCGGGAGAGCGGGAGGAGACGGAGGAGGAAAAGGAAAAGAGGAGGCGGCGGCGCTGACGCTGCAGCAAAGGATCCGGGATGGAGGCGCGGCGGCGAGAGGCGCGCTCGGGGAATGCGCCTGCGCGCGGCCACCTGCGGGGGAGGGACGGCGCCGCTAGGCTGCGCCCCCTCCTCCTCCCCCTCCTTCTAGTTTTGGTCCCCTCTGTCCCAGGGGCAGCCTGCCTTGGCCCCTCCGGCCTTCTCAGCAGGGTGCCTCCCCATTCCCCGAAATCTGTTTTGGGATTGGCTGGGGGTGAGCTTCCTCAGGACGTGCCACCACCTCTCCTCTTCCCGGCCGGACTTCCAGACCTTCACCCCTCACCCCACTGGAGCGAAGGACCGGCCTGGGCTTGGAGTACGAGCACCCTGGAATACGGGAACCCCAGGCGCACGTAGACAAACAAGGAATAAATTGGTGCACAGGTGTGCCCAAAGACGCACCAGGGTGCTCAGAGACATGGGCAAAAGCAAACACACTGGCACCCAACGGGTCCTCATGCCACTAAGGCTGGATCCCAAATGAGGCCACCAGGGGGCAAGAGTGACCCTGAGTTGCTGCTGAAAGCCAGCTGGGAGCTGTCCAAGGTGGTCATGATCCCAGGTGACCGCCTTCAGCTGCCGGTAATCCCACGATATCCATCTATGGTGCCCTCCACATCCCCTCACCTGCTGTCTCCTGAGAGCACATCCCGCCCCACTCGGAAATCTCTAAGTCAAAAGAACAAGGTTGAGACTCACAAACCGGTACTTCTTTCACTCCCGCGAGACTCAGAACGCCAAAGCTGAGGCTGTCAGCGAAGGTTTTCGAGAGAAACGTCCCAAAGGAATAAGGGAATGTGGAGTATGGGTGTAAGCAGAACAAGGACCGCCCCCTTTCCCACAGGGCACTGACCAAATAGTGTCTGAAGTCACTTCCCAGAAAGGCGGGTGGGGAAGTAGCGGGGACCTTCCCACTGGGAGAACACAGAATTTCGGGAGGGGGATGCAGGAGCCTCTGGGGATGCAGAGATCTCAAAGTCCTGGAGAGAGGGGCAAGCTGTCACCAAGTCCCTGCTGGCTTGGCTCCAGAGCCACGCTCATTTCTCTGGTCATCTCTACGTGGGATGGACCCCAGTCAAACTGGTCCGGAGACCCTGCCTCCCTTGAGTCTACTAACGCCAATTGTGCTGAAGCAGCTGCCTTGCCCACTGCCTACCCGCTCTGCCACCTCCCCATATCCCACCCTCATCCTCAGGCCTACTAAAAGCCAGGGCTCAGCCTCCAGACCCACCTAGGTTACCCATGAGGATCTGATATCCGGATTCTGCCCATCAGAGGAGACTCAAGGACTCAGGGATCCCCATAGGTGAGAGCAGGAGAGCCCAGATCTGGGTGGGAGGCAAAGGACGCAGGAAGAGCCAGTATCCATACTTGGGACCAGAGATGGGCCTGAACGGCCTACACAGCTGGAAGGAGGGAGGACAGACAACAACAAAGATGCCCCACCCTATAAACATTCGTCACTGCTCTAGAAAAAAAAAGCTTTTATTACAAAATATTTATAGTTACACATGGACACTCCCCATACTCCACGGAGGGGGAGCTCCAAGGGTCCTGACCATCAGAATAAAGGTCCCACGCTCTGGAGACCCCCACCTTGACTCACAGACTGAGGAGCCTGCTACCCTAGGAAAGGGGAGGGGGGAGTAGTAGGAAGCATTGAGAACTGGGGGCTGGCGAGGCTGCAGGGACTGGAGGGGACTATGGGGCTGAAAGGACCCCCCTGCACCCAACCAGGCCCCCTGTGAATGTGGGTGCTGGAGTGTCAGTCCCCGGGCTGCCTCAGGGGCAGAGATGCTGCGGGTGGGTGGAAGGTGGGGAGGTAAACGGGAGGGGGGGAGATAAGGGGGGGCCGCTCCCCTAGGGAATCTGCGCGCCCCTAGATGGCACTAGTGGACTTGGCGGAGCGCACCTGGCGCAGAAGGAGGAGGAGGGCGGCGAGGAGCAGGGCGGCGAAGAGCAGGAGGAGAGCGACCCAGGAGCTGAAGTCGGTGCCCTTGCGCAGCCCTGGAGGGTCCGCGGGGATCATGTTGGTCAGGTTCAGCATGTAGCCCAACGCCCAGCCGACAGCCGTGTCCGCTGCCTGTGAGGGTCATGGCCACAGCCTCCGTAAGGCCCAGGCCCCAACAGCCCCTCACCCGGCCTGGGCTCGGTCCCCGCCCCGCGCCCACGCCCACCTTCTTCTGGAAGGCCACACCGCGGAAGGTGCGCTCATCGAAGCCGTAGCCGCGGCTCAGCAGCTGCTGCACGAACATGGCCCCGGCACAGTAGTCAACCAGGCGAGCCTGCTGTCCTGGCGCCCGGGCCTGCAGCTGGGACGCGGGTGAGAGATGGTCAGGCCTGCGGTTATGGGGAGTGGTGACCGGCAGGGTGCAGCGCCCTTCCCCCACGCACAGGCAAGGAAGGCCAGGGACTGTGTCAAGTCCAAAACACCCAGGAAGACCAAGTCCACCAGTCCTGCTCCTTGGAAATGAACCAACTGTAACACACACACACACACACACACACACACCCCTGCTTCCACCTCCCTGAGACTACCCAAGTCTGCCTGATAGGAGACACAGAGAGAGACGGGGTGGGACCTGGCACATTTTTCTGGGAGTCTCAGGTAAGCACCTCGCGCGCCAGGTGCCCAGACCCCTCTATCTTTCCTTACAGGGCACAAGTGTCTAGTCAGTGGGACGCTTGCTCCTCACCCCTCAGCCCAAGCCCTGCCAATTCCACCTGCTAAGCCTCCACTGGGTATATACCTCCACTGGCCAGCCATTGTCTGTCACACTGTCCCAGTCATGCGCCTCTCTGGCCTGCTGCCACAGGGCCTTTGCCTTCCAGATTTTGGTTGTAGTGTCAGGCCTCCAGGAAACCAATGAAACCCATACTCCCCACTACAGCAATGGCCATTTCTTGCCACAGTGGGCACTATGAGAGACCAGGGTAACTCTCTACACACAGAGCAAGTGGAGCAAGTGAATGACCAGGGAGGTGTGAAGCCCACAGGAGGAGGGAAGCAGGTCTCACTTACCTCAGCCCAGGTTTGGTTGCAGATGGTCACTGTGGCCACCTCCAGCTGCTGTAGGGTGGCCACGGGCAGCCCCATCACAGTCCTCAGGAAGTCCACAGTGTAGTAGAAAGCAGAGAAGGCCTGCAAGGGGGCACGGTCACACTGTGGCCAGGCCCCAGGTGCTTCAGGTCTCCTGTCCCCCCACTCCCATCTGCAGGGACTCACGATGAAGTTCCCAGTCACAGGAGGCTGGAAGGTCCCATTGAAGGAGCATCGGGAGAAGGGGCAGGAGGAGAAGTCAAAGAGCCCAGAAACAAGGCCGCGGCAGAGAGCAGGATTGCTGGTCCCCGACAGGCTGACCCTGGCACTGCTGTTGAAAGTCTGAGGCCGCTGAGATGCGGTACATGGAGACTGGTACACATCCCCCAGCAGAACTTGGGAGGAATAGCCCCTCGGCCAGCAGGGATGGAAGCTGTGGGTCTGGGGGGATGACCAGCACGTGAGTGGCACCACCCCCACTCTAAGCACTGACTACCACCCTACCCCAGAGGATCAGCCCAGTGAACTGCCCACAAGTCCACATTGGGCAACATCACTTTTGTATTCAGGAGCAATCAGTAGCACCCCACTGCCTGTTGGACAAAAACCAATTCTCTTATCAGACAGTCAGGTTCCTCTGAGATCATCCCTGGCTCTCCTTTCTCCAGGCCCCCCACCACTGGGCCTTCACTCATGCCAGGTCCCTTCCCACATGCCCTTCCAGCCAATGAAAGCCCAATAAAAGTCTGGAGAAACCCTGCCTAGGGCCCCATCCTTCTTACTTCCTCCCTTCAGAAGGCAACAGAGCAGTGGGGGGTGGGGGGAATGAGGGTGGAGGGGCACCTGGAGGGCACTGGCCAGCAACCTCTGGAGGACCTGGTCTCGGCCGTAGCAGAGGAAGCTGTGGGTGTAGACTCTGTAGTGCTGGCCATAGAGTCGCAGGTGGACCTCATTGGCTGGATCCTCAGCTGGACTGGCTGTCTCAAAGGTGATCTGTGTGGAGGCACCCCCCAGGTCCATGGCCCCCAGGGTTCCCTTCCTTGGCCGGAACCACCGGCCTACCCAGCCATACTGTGGAGAGTGGAGGTTGGGTCAGTTGGTGGACAAGCACACATGTCCCCAGGCTCCTTGGGCCAGCTGCCAGGCCCACCTTGATGAAGTTCTCCAGCAGGTAGTTGGCAGTCACCCAGCCAAACACCCCCTCATCCTGACCAGAGAGGATGCGGGCACCACGGAAGTCAAAGGGGTACCGGGTCAGGGTCTGCATCACTGCTGTAAGCACGCTGGCCGACGCCTCTGGATTGGTCAGGCTGTGAAGTGGGGAGGACTCTGAGGGGTCTCCTCCCTGGGTGGCTGGGACACTACTGGGAATCTTCCCAGTGAGAGGGTCCTAACCCAGAGCTGCTACTGACAGCTTGTGGGGTCCACCTGCACAGGGGCTGTCCAAGATCATGGTATAGGCACACTCACTTGAGCAGACGCATGCCTGCTGTGGCTCCCAGGTAGAGTGGCGTGCTGGCATGTCTGTCTTTGGGCACGTCCCGAAGTGCCTGTTCAAGGCATTCGACCAGACTCTGGCCAGCCCCAGAAGGGTCATCTGCATAGCTGGAGATGCCCCCACCTAGAGAGAGGGAGGAGATGGTCCCAGGCCTGACAGATGGTTCCCAGGTGGGCCATAAGGCAGTAGGGCTCTGGATCCTGGGCTCCCAACCAGGTGGTGGCTTAGACACACCTACACTGCCTAAGTCCCCAGAGACACCCAGTTTAGAGACAAAGGGGCACAGGTGCCACCCACTCTCTGAGGCTGCCGCCTGCCTAGTGGATGTGGGTACAGGTGCCTGGACAAAGCAACAGGCAGTGTCAACCTAGCCTGTCTTCCCAGGGGACCTTTCTGTTGTGCCCGCTAGATCTTTAGAACCCCTCCTACCCCACCTGCAGTGTAGAGTCCTGTCTTGGACTGGATAAGGCCCAAAAAGTACACCTGCTATCTGGGGTTTCCTTTCTAGATATTATCCACAGCACCTCCCAGGACCAGAGAGCCCAGCCTTTCTTTCTTGAATGAGCCCCACCAGCACCAGACAGAGGAATAGACAGGACTGTTGGGGCTACAAGACTGACTAAGGCAGGTCTGGGACCCTAAGACCCCCACAGGGAATAGGGCAATCTGGTTCTTGTTGGGGGGGGCGGCGCTCACCCTGAACATCACAGGAGCTGTGCTGGCCCACAATGCCAGTGTCATTTTCCTTGTCTGCTGGCCACTTGTAGACAAACATGGATGTGTGTGAAGAGCCAGCATCCAGGACAATGCCATACTGGAGGTGGGGGCAGGGGTAGTCAGCCTGAGGCATCTGGGGGCCCTTAGGCCACAAACTGCCCCAGCTCTCCACTCCCAACTGTTGTGCGAGTTGAAGCTCAGAAACGGCCAAGGGTAACCATGGTGACAGGGCTTGGATAGATGGAGAATGACCAGGAACCATGGGTGACCCCCTCCTTCTCTGACTGCCTGAAGCCTGCATGCCAGGAACTAGGAAGTAGCCTTCCTGGCAAGGACCACATCTGGAACTTCTCCCAGAGGACATGAGATCCTCTGGTCCAGGGAGAAGCCCAGCTGCAGAAGACTCCCCTCCCCCAATACTGATCTCCCTTCTTCCCCAACTCCTGCTCTCTGCCCTGACCTCATCCTGACCTGAGGATGTGGAAGTAAGGCCCCCTGAGGCTAGGCGTAGGCCTCCAATCCATGCCCCCTCCCTGGCCTTCAAAGCCAGGTCCTGCAGAGCTGAGCTGGATGGGCCTTCCTTGCAGACTAGGGGCCTCAGCACCCAGCATGTAAATGCTCCTTTCCAGCACCTGTCCACAAAGGTCTGCACTCCAGCTGGGGAAGCCCTGGGATTCCAACTCCATCCTGGGAAAGGGCTGCTCCTGTCCTCCCACGTACCAGGGACTCCTCCAGAGCCCAGGGAGGTCTGCAGGCCCACCTCCCACCACCACATCCCGTATGGCCACAAGCTCTCCAACTTCCTGGGCCCGTCACACACACTTCGCACAAGCGCTATAAAGGGTTAAAGGAGCGGGCCTCGGCTGGACCTGGATGGAGATCCTGCCAAGACCAGTTCCAACCCTTTTAGGACCATCCAAGCCCTCCATTCAAAGCGGCGCCCTCACTGTCCACACCACCAGAGTGTCAGGAAGGATCCGTAGTCCCCAGTGCCTGTCGCCCCACATCCGGGCTGAATCCGGAGCTGATGCGCCTCTAACTGCGGCGCACTCTGGATTGAGGGTGAGGGATGATCCCAGGAGCCCCCGGGAGTCCCTTGTGCTGGGGGCGCCGGGGCCGCATCCGGGAGCGGGGAGACAGCCCCTCGGCCCCGAAGGCAGGCGGCGCGGGGGCCGGGGAGTTCCCGCGACTTTGGCCTCTAGCACCGCGTCGCCCCGGAAGCGCCACCGCCGAGGCGCGCACGCGGAGGGAGGAGCGTGAGACCTGGGACCCCACCCAGGGCGCAGCGCTGGTGGTCCTGGGCGCGGCGCGGCGCGGCGCGGCGCGGCGCGGCCCGCGGGCTCCTAACCGCCCCGCTCCGACCTGTCCGCGGCTCCCCGCGCTCGCGCACCTTGAGGGCGGGCGGCTCCCGGACATCGCGGGTGGGGACGCACAGCAGCAGGAGGCCGGCGAGGCCCGCCGCGGCCAGCAGCAGCGGCGGCAGCAGTGACAGCACCTTCCTGGCCATGGGCGGGCAGGCGGGCGAGCGCGCGAGAGGACGCGGCGGGAACCCGGGATGGCCGGCAGCGTGGAGGCCCGGGCGGCCGCGGCCGCGGCCGCGGGGTAGGCACCCGGGGCGGGGCGTGAGCTGACCCCGCCCACAGAAGGACACCCTCCGCCCAGTTCCCGCCGGGAGCGCAGGTGAGAGACGCGGCGCGGGTGACTCAGCCGGGCCGCCCTCCCCTCGCCGGGTCACCGCCGAGTCGCCTCGCAGCTACGACCACCCTCCTCGCGGCCAACTCAGCACCGGGCATTCCCAGCCCTGTCGTGCGGAGTCGCGCGGGGGTGGGCTGGGAGGTTGGTCTTGTTTGCAGAGTCCCGTGCCTGCAGAGCCACACTTTCCCCTGACCCGGGAAAAGAGGCCAGCCCTGCGTGCAGAAGGACTAAATATCAGTTATGCGAGCCACGTGGGTTCTTAGCTGGGGCGCACGCAGGTGGACACGAAGCCTCAGCACCTGCTTATGAAGTGGGGCTGTAGCACTAATTCCTAGAGCTAGGTGAGCACCAAGCTGGCCCCTAGGACGTGTACCCTTACTGCAAGAAAAGAACAGCCAGCCGGGCCCAGGTGGCTCACGCCTGTAATCCTGGCTACTCAGTGGGCAGAGAACAGGAGGATCGTGGTTCTAAGCCAGTCCTGGCAAATAGTTCGCAAGACCTTATCTCAAAAAACCACACCACAAAAAAGGGCTACACCTTGAGCACCTCAAGGTGTAGGCCCTGAGTTCAAGCCCAGTACTGCAAAAAAGAAGGAAGGGAGGGAGACCTGGGCTGCCCTACCAGAGACAGTGAGCTGCCCCAGCTGGACCTGCCCTGGTAGTCCTGGGCACTCAAACCAATCAACAGGAAGGGAAGGAAGACCACCTCACATAGCCTTGTGCTCAGATGACAGTTGAGGACACAGAAGCACAGAAGGGCAGAGATGGCCTACAGTCACACCAAGCCCAGCAACAGAACAGAAGCTGAGGGCAAATGGGCCCCCAGTCCCTGCCTCTCAGCTCAGGGCCATGATTATCCTTGCTTCCCCCTTTGCCTGGGAAGGAGACACAGAGGCCTAGACTGTGGAGGCCAGGCTTCCAGAGGGGAGCAGGGGATCCTTTAAACAGAAGGCCTCATCTTAGAGGATAAGGAAGAGGTACTAGTCAGCAGCAGGTTCCTGGGTACCGGCTGGAGTGGGCAAGTGCTTTGCTGACCCAGAGCCAAGGCCACCCCCTCTGTCCCACGTAATGTCTGGCCTTTCTACTCTAACCCCCCAGGCTCTGCAAGCTAGCCTGACCAGGCACACAGGGCTCCCTGGCCAGGAGCCCTGGCTCTTTGTGTTCTTACAAAGTGGGAATTCCAGCACAAAGAATTCATCCACACAGCAGCCTGGAACCATGTGGTAAGACCACCAGGGATGGGGCATCTGGAGCTCAAGGGCTGCCTTTGATGGGGGTGGGGTCTGGGAATGCCCTGGCCAGTGGAACAGGCAGGGACAAGGCGTGTACTGGAGGCCTGGGAAGCCAAGAAAAGAGCAGTGGTTACAGGAAACCGCAGACTTCCCAGCATCTCCAGGCCTGCTGGCACCCCCCCTCCTACCAGCCCCTTGGACGGACAAGCCTGAGGCAGCAGGAGCCCCCACCAAGCCCAAGGATGCCCCAAGGATGGGGCAGGGACAGGGGAGGCCTGGCCCCTGCCCTGGGGAGACAGCTCATGGCCAGGGCCCAGACTAGCCTGCCAAGAAGGGTGGGAAGCAGGAGCAGGGAACAGCCAGGACGAAGGTCCCAGTTCTCTCTGAGCCAGAACTAGGACAGAAAACATCCCCTCTGGAACAAAGATGTCCTCTGGATGCTGGGCTTCTGGAAGGTGGACTTGGGGGACACATGGGAGGGGAAGCTGGCCAGAGCTGAAGGGGGTTCAGCCCAGCCTTGGGAACCCAGTGGGGGTGGGGGCTCCAGATGTGCCATATGTGGCTTGGCCCAGGCTCCAGGCAGAGGAATGTGGATGCAGAGAGGTTCAGAACCTCCTTCCCCCCCACAAGACTCAGACCTCCCAAGGAGGGGACGTTTGCTGAGATGGTGGCTGCCCCGCCTCAGTCTTCCCACTGGAAGTCCCAGGGTCCAGTTGCTGAAACACCTTCCTTGGGAAAGTTCCATCACACACTGTGGTTTCCTTGCTTCTTGGGCTTATTTAGTCATCCAGCAAACTCTTGCTAGGCATCCCCTGAAGGTCAGAGGCATGCCAGACATACACAGTGAGCAAGGGATGCTCTTGGTGTGGGTAAGGGGTCCTGGAGAGAGTGGGCTTCACAAGGGCACCTAGGAGAAGAGGAAGTGGTGCCTCATGAGAAGCAGTGGCTCTGCAGCTGAGTGGGTGGGGCACAGGTACAGTGGGTAAGAATAAGAGGAGCAGGAGCAGGTGTGCAAGCCCCAGGTGTGTCTTTGATCTCCCCTTGGTGGCCCCGTGCAGGGCACCCCTCCCTCGCCTTACTACCTATCGTGCATCTCTGAAGTGGTGTTTTTCTGGTTTTCTTTCTATAATGATGTATTGTTCTGTTGCTTGGGCTGCAGCTTCCCCTTACGTGGCATTTTTGAGACTCAGCCCTGTTGACGTGGAAGGTACAGTTCATGCATTCTCGTTGCTGGGGCATTCCTCTTGTGTAAATACACCAAGTCAGACCATCGTGCTGCAGTGTACCACGTGGGGGGTGTCTGGCCTTGGGGGGCTGCTGGTTGCTGACCGGGGTATTTGCAAACTTGGAGCCCGTCTTTGGGAAGTATGCTGGAAACAGAGTTGCCAGTTGTAGCATAAGATGCCAGGCTGTGCTCCAACAGGAAGGCTTCCCGCGGGCATCACCGGTGCCTCTGCCCGATTCGCATCTGAGTTCTGTGTATCGCTGTGCAACCTTTAGACTTTTTAGATTGCTGCCGAGGGTGGAGTGGGTCCTCTTTGAGACTGAAGTTCGCGTTTCCTCTCCTCTGTGACACACCGACCCAGGTTTTTCATCTTTCTAAGGGTTGCTTGTCTTCTCACTGGTCATGCACCTGCTGCAGGTGAACCCTTTGGTGGTGAAGTCTTGTAAATCCTTAATCAGTCTGGACGCGTTCCCTCTCGGGTCAGCTCGTGTCTGAGTCATCTACGTGAGCTCATGGAACATTCTCTAAAGGCCTGTGGTTTGCTGATGGAGAGCCTTCTGGCCATCTGGAAGCAGGATTTGCGTGTGGGATGTGAGGAAGCGATTCCAGCTCCTGTTTTCCCATGTGGAGAACTGTGTGTCCCAGTGGGATCGTGGCACAGCCTGCATGTGCGAGCACTTGGTCTTCCACGCTGGGGTCCATCGCTGCATATGGGGCTGTGCGTGGGGGTCTCCCTTCAGCAGCCTGGCACTCACCCCACGGCACCTGTCCCCAGTGCTTCAGGGCACATCTTGACCTCTGGGAAGAAACTTCCCTCTCTTGGCTCAAGTGCTGAAGCACTTGCCAAGCGTGAGGTCCTGAGTTCAATCCCGCAACCAGAAAAAAAAGAAAAAAAGAGTTCCCTTGCCCTGCTACCTTTTTTGTTCCTTTGTTTTGCTTTGTCTCAGGCTGACCTCAAACTCTACATCCTTCTGCCTCTGCTCCTGAGTAGCTATGCAGGGTACTTGATACATTATAATATTTAATTGCTTTAAATTTGACTTTCTAAGGGTTTTTTTTTTTTTGCCATTTTATAGAAATTCAGTGGACTTATTTATTTATTTATTTATTTATTGTGAGATAGAGGCCTTGCTGTGTTGCCCAGACTAATCTCAAGTTTGTGGGCTTAAGAGATCCTCCTGCCTCAGCCTCCCAAGTAGCAGGGACTACAGGTGTGCACCACTGCACCCCCCTTATCATAGT